CGCTCGCGAGCAGGAGCTGCAGGAACAGTTGGCCGAGCTGCAAGAGTCCCTGAAGCAGGCGACATTGGCCGCCGAGAAGGCTACCGCTTCCGCCAAGGCAGCGATTGAATTGCAAGACTCCGTGAAGGAAACCGCCGCTGCGGCAGAGAAACCTGCTGCGGATGTCGACGAGGCTACGCGTGCGACGGAGCCCTCTGAATTGCAAGAGTCCCTGAGACAAGCCACGCTTGCAGCGGAAGAGGCCGCCGCAGCTGCCAAAGCCGCTTCGGAGGAGTCGGCAGCTCAGATCGAGCTGCGGGAGAAGAAGATCTGGGAGCTCCAGTCCGAACTCACCAGTTGGGAAGAACGGCACAGCACAGCAGTGCAAGGCATGCGCGATACTGAGGAACAGATGCAGAAGACGATCGGGGAGCTCGAGGCCCAAGTCGCTTCCGTGTCTGAGCAGCTTGCCGAGGCGGAGCGCAAGAAGCCAGACGAAGAGGAGGCGCAGAGGGAAACCGAAATCAAGCAGAAGAAGCTGATCGACTTCTTGAGGAGCGAGATCGATGACTACAAGGGCATCATCAACAGCAACCAGTCCAAGGTCATCGAGGTCGAGCAACAACACCAGGCGACCAAGAAACTTCTCGAGATGGCCGCCCATGACCGCGACCAGGCCGCAAGTGAGCTCGAGAAAGCCACAGGTGAGCTCGAAAAGACCATAAGTGAGCTCGAGACGCACAAAGAATTGGTCGCCAAGTTGGAGACGCAGATCGCCGAGCACGAGCAGACCATCAAGGCGCACCAGGAGCGGCTGGAGCAACTGCAGTCTCAGCACGCCAAGGATGTTGAAGAGATGATGTCCACTTCGAAGCAAGACTTGGAGTCGCAGCTGGCGTCTCTCAGGGCTGAGCATGGCGACCGCATCAGCCAACTCGAGGGCGATCTCACCGAGGCTCGTGAGGATCTCATGAAGGTCGCCACCCAAGTTGCCTTTGCGCTTGGCCTGGACGTCAGTGTCGAGAAAATTTCGGAACGCATCGACGACCTGGTCGCGGACCAGAAGGCCCTTGCGCAAGAGCAGGAGAAGCGGGCGGAGCTCGAGCGCCACGTGGTGGACCTGTCCAACATCAACGACGCAGTCATGCGCGACCTTGAGACAGTCAGGGAGAGTTTGAACGAGGTCCTCGAGGCGGAAAGCGAGAAGGCCAAGAATCCATGCCCTGTCCAGGAGCAGGTCGCTCTGGTCAAGAAGAGGGTGGTTGATCTCGAGGCCAAGAACAAGAAGAACTCGCGGCTCGTCGAGGAGCTTGAGGACCAGTTGCAGAGCAACTACGACCAGGTGCAGATGGCCAGCAACCGCCTGTCCACTCTCCAGATGGAGCGAAATCAGCAACTAGAGGAGGCCAACGCCGCCAAGATCAAGCTGCAGACGGAATTGGATGCCATCCGGGAGGAGTATGCCGCTCTCCAGGCCAAGTACGAAGGCATGATCCACAGCGACAGCGTCATCCACCCAGAGAGCCCGCAGCGCTCCAACTCGCTCACCAACAGCAACCAAGTCCGCAAGACGGCCTCAGTCACCTCCCTCCCCTCCCCACCGCCGGCCATCCCCCTACCCCCTCTTCCCAACGGCAGCACCTCCTCTGGCACCGTCTCCCCCACTCCTCGCCCGCCAAGTAAAGACATTGGCGGCGCCAGCAGCTCAGCAGCAGCGGCTCTCTCATCCCAAATTCAAGAAGACCAAGAAGCGCGCATCCGACTCATCGAGAAGCACCTCAAAGCCGAGAAGCAGCTGACCGCGACGCTAGAAGAGGCGCTCACGGACCTGGAGCGGCAGCAGAACGCGATTCGGTCCGACTGCGACGCGTGGCGGCGCAGGGCCAACGAGCTCGAGGCGGAGCTCAAGGAGCTCAAGGAGAAGCCGCAGCAGGATAACCGGTGGAGCCTGCAGCAGGTGGAGGAGGAGCGCCGGAAGCGGCGGGACGCCGAGATTGCGAGGGCGCATCTGGAGGAGAGGATGAATACGATTGCCAAGAAGAAGAAGAAGGGGAGTCTGAACTGCTTTTAGGAGGGCAGTTTTTGGCGGCGGCGGCGGTGGGGAGTGCTGGTGGTGATGGTCGGTATGTTGGGGATACTTTATGGTGGTGTGGTCATGATGATGGTAATGGGTGGTGGAGCGTGGCCAAGATGGGTTTATTGGGGGGTGGGGGCGGCATTATCGGGTTTCTGTCTGGCTGCTCTCCTGTTCTTGTGTTTGCTTTTCTACCACCTTTCTTATTTTTTTTGATTTGCCTCTTTTTTGATTCCCCCTCAAATCATTTGATTCCCCAGCCTACGCTGTCTTTCTGAGTCGATGCCCTGTTATCTGATTCCCCCCTTGTGTTTTGTTCATGACGTTGGAGGCTGGAGGATTTATTCTCTCCCTCGTTGTCGACGCCTTTTCCTGTTCTCACACCCCAGTATTGTCCACTGGCATCCGCTGATGTATGTTGGCCATGTCTCTGTATGTATGTACCGTCGGCCTTTAGTTACTTAACTTATGAGATACGTGGTTGGCTGTTCATGCTGTAGCGGTTCCAGCATGGTGTCTTCTGCTTGTTTGCTGCTGATATGCTCTTACTGCGCACTGCGTTGAGAGAGCTAGGCCGAAACGGCTAGGTTTGCCGGCATGTCACTTCAAAGCAGAACGAAGTCCTAATAAGTCAGTCAATCTCTTCCATTCCTCCATGCTCTCTACTCAATCGGTACAGCGAAGGCGATACCGGTACAACAACATGGTTACTGGGGACGACAGGGTGGCGGGCAGATGGAGGTTCAGAGATGCCTAGCTACCTACCTCTAGTGTACCGGTATGTAGATCGTTTCCCAGATTTCTATGTATCCAGCGCTAAGCAAGGGCACGGAAGCGGGACAGGGTCCGTTCCGGGGTGTTGTCTGCTTCCACATTAAAACAGAGACAGTCACGAGCACATAGGATCTCGCTGCAATCCCTATTGACCAGGCCGCGGGTGGCTGAGACCAGACGGGTCCTGTCTGCATCGTCACAACGCTGACGGAGTTGGCGTGGAGTGTGGGAGACTGCTTACTGTGTATCAAGTTCTCAATGATCAATCAGCCTGGTGTTCCGGTCATCGGGGCATACGAGACTAACTACCCCAGAGAGAGCCATTAGGATCGAAGCGAAGGATGACACAGCAGGGATAGAGGTGCATTCGGACCTGCGGGAAAGGAGATCGCTCTCATGGGGAGCCGATGCAAGCGAGGGGCCTCGATTCGGCGACTCCACCATGGAATTGGGGAAAAGGGGTCAGAGTCCCCAGCGGCCAACAGCCCGTAAGCCGCTGTTCTCAACCTCTCAAGCTAAGGTATGGTGTTGCACGGACGAAGACGAACTCCCAAGGCGGGTGCTGTTGCCGGCACTGCTTGAGCCAACGGCTTGCATGGGAGGTGTTGCCGGTAAAACGGCATGTCGACTTGCCGTCTGATGCCGCTGTTGGCTGCACGTCAAAAAACAGTCGTTGCGTTGCAGGGCATGATGATCTCCAATGTGGAACACCATCGATTTGCATCTTTTGATGCGGGGCAGTCGTCCAGAAGCCAATTCCTTCTCACCAACCGCCAAGCCTAGGCAGCGTCATGTCCCGAACGCCGCCTTCGTCACTCCCAAGTCGTGAAGCCGGCAGTGAGAGGGTGCCAAGACAAGATCGCACGAGTAGCAGAGTGCCCCGGATGGGTGCGGGGGAGGGAACTCGCGGCAGGGAGGCACGGAAACAGGTGGATCCAGAAGCAGCGCCGACATTCCCAATGTATCGGTACATCCAGCGGATATGAAAGGTTGTAGATCCCTTTTTCTCCAACATTGAGACAAGGACGAACGAACCGTCAGGCTGGTTGTTAATAAACAGTCCTTACCGGACGAACCTTTCTGGTGATTGGGCCTGCTCGTCACAAGCATTCCGACCGGGGCCTGCAACATGCACTGCTCTTTCGTTGGACGGCTGACGCGAGACGCTTTCGTCCCCTCTTGCAGATGATGAGGCACGTTGGGGTCACCGGAGCTGCGGAGAATTGAGATGTTATTAGCCAACCGGCTGAGCACCGAAGCTCCGCAAAGTATGCGGCGCGACTTGTTCTTTTGCGGGGCCCGAAGCTTCATCTCACCGGGCCCCCCGTAACCGCGTAGCACCTGAGCTAATATCCGTCTCATCTCGATAGGAACGGCCGAGATAGTGTGGGCTGCGCTGGCTGTGTTGACTAACTGCGTGCCTCTGCTGAAGGCCCGAGTTTGCGAGCCCATGGAGAGGGAGTTGAACTTTGAGATATCTCCGCCGGGGGTACCGGGTGAGTTTTCGTTGAGACTGCAGTGAGGTATGGAGATTTAAGGAATAGGGAGACCCTGCGAAAGGGGACGCTAGTCCCAGTTCAAGAGTCTTGTTGATCCGTTTACGCAGGGTAGGGTTTTTGAAGGGTTGGGACCGCAAGTCAATGCCGCATGAGCATTGCGGCGTGCGGACTTGTCTCTGTCGACTCCAGTTCCTCAGTATGGTCTCGTTTTTTCCAAATGTCGGATTACGTTACAACGGTCTGAAACAATTGCGACATGGATTGGATTGCGATGCCATGGAGGGGCAGTGGAGGGGCTCGTCGGGCGGAGGGAAGCTTGAACCCACCCGCACTTGCCCTTGGTTAAGCCTCCCCCACCATTTCGGCTGGAGCTGGACTGTCAAGCTCACATTAGGGTCAGGTACCTGTACCACGACTCTGAACCGGCACAATTGATGGGAAATGGGAGGTGCCCACAGGCTCCCAGCTTGTATCCTCGTCCATGCAACCAGGACTGGAAGCTTGCACCATCCACACGGATGCAGTACAAAAGCGTCCCCTCTTCCCCATCGCTGGCCCCCTTTGCTGGGGACCTGACTTGACAACTTTGTATGTTTTCTCGCCTCTTCCCTCTCCTCCACCACCACCTCCTCCAGCATATCCGTATCTCGATTGCGTCTCGCGCTGTTTGTCCCCGCTGCCATCCCCGCCGTCGAGTCGTCCGCAAAAATCGCTACCTCGCCGTCCCCTCCATCATCACAATTGTCATGGGTGAAGAGACCGCCAAGGCCCCGGTGGTGGCCGAGGCCCATGAGGTCGACACCTTCCGTAAGCTTGACAGTTTCTCCAAAGAGGCCATTGCACACGCTGGCTGAGAAACCAGGGAACGAGAAAGGCTGACCACAACATCTCTCTCTTTCCAGATCCCCCACAGAAGATGCTCGCGAGTAGGTCGCATGCGCTGCCGCGTGCCAAGATCCGATCCAATCAACCGCTCGGGGCGGGGCGTCTGGACGAAGGGAAGAATGGCAGGCTAACTCGTGCGCGTTGCAACAGAGCACCCGAGCAAGCCACACTTGAGCGGTAAGCCATCCTTCCTTGGCCCCACCAACTAGCTCTCCGCATTCCGCAACCGGCGCCGGGTAACTGTTCCGTCGCATCCCATAGGCACATTGCGCTAAACAGGCTTCGGACTGCAGGTCTCGAGGAATACCAGCAGCTGTACAAGGAGTCCATCACAGAGCCCACCAAATTCTGGGGTAGGCTGGCCCGTGAGCTGCTGACCTGGCACAAGGACTTCCAGACAGTCCAGAGCGGTTGTCTGGCCACCGGTGACGTCGCCTGGTTCCTCGAGGGCGAGATCAATGCCTCGTACAACTGCGTCGATCGCCATGCCTTCAAAGACCCCAACCGCGTCGCCATCATCTATGAGGCCGACGAGCCCACCGATGGCCGGACCGTCACCTATGGCGAGCTGCTGCGCGAGGTTTCCAAACTTGCCTACGTCCTCAGGGACATGGGCGTGCGCAAGGGCGACACGGTTGCCATCTACTTGCCTATGATTCCCGAGGCTCTCGTCGCCTTTCTGGCCTGCGCGAGGATTGGTGCCGTTCACTCGGTCGTCTTCGCCGGCTTCTCGGCAGATTCGCTGCGCGACCGCGTTATCGACGCTCGGTCCAAGGTTGTCATCACCTCGGACGAGGGCAAGCGAGGTGGAAAGTTGATTGGCACGAAGAAGATTGTGGACGACGCTCTCAGGCAGTGTCCCGACGTTAAGAACGTGCTCGTCTTCAAGCGCACGGGCGCCGATATCCCCATGACACCAGGCCGCGATGTTTGGTGGCATGAGGAGGTCGAGAAGTGGCCGGCGTACATCGCTCCCGAGCGCATGAATTCCGAGGACCCGCTGTTCCTCCTGTACACCTCCGGATCGACTGGCAAGCCCAAGGGAATGATGCACACCACCGGCGGTTATCTCCTCGGCGCCGCCGCCACGGGCAAGTACGTCTTCGACATCCACGAGGGAGACCGGTACTTCTGCGGTGGAGACGTCGGCTGGATTACCGGCCATACCTACGTCGTGTACGCGCCACTGCTTCTCGGTATCTCGACGGTCGTGTTTGAGGGCACCCCGGCCTATCCCAACTTCTCCCGCTACTGGGACATCATCGAGAAACACAAAGTCACGCAGTTCTATGTCGCGCCGACCGCCCTGCGGTTGCTCAAGCGTGCTGGTGATCACCACGTGCGCAATGAGATGAAACACCTCAGAGTGCTCGGGTCTGTTGGAGAGCCCATCGCCGCCGAGGTCTGGAAGTGGTACTTTGAGGTTGTTGGCAAGGAGGAGGCGCAGATTGTCGACGTAAGTTTGCTTTGTTGTCGCTCTGTGAGCATAGCCGGGCCCATCTGACTCTGTGCTGCAGACATACTGGCAAACTGAGACGGGCTCCAATGTCATCACGCCTCTGGCCGGCGTGACGCCAACTAAGCCCGGCTCCGCCTCTCTTCCCTTCTTTGGCATCGAGCCCGCCATCATCGACCCCGTCTCTGGCGACGAGATCCCAGGCAACGATGTCGAAGGTGTCCTCGCCTTCAAGCAGCCGTGGCCAAGCATGGCCCGGACCGTCTGGGGCGCCCACAAGCGGTACATGGACACTTACCTCAATGTCTACCCCGGCTACTATGTAAGTGAACTCGGGTGTGCCCATAGTGGGAAAACGACTCGACTGACCGTAATCGATTATAGTTCACCGGTGACGGTGCAGGCCGGGACCACGAGGGCTTCTACTGGATCCGTGGCCGTGTCGACGATGTCGTAAACGTTAGTGGCCACCGTCTCTCGACGGCCGAAATCGAAGCCGCCCTGATTGAGCATGCCGCCATTGCCGAGGCCGCGGTCGTGGGCGTGGCCGACGAGCTCACGGGCCAGGCCGTCAATGCATTTGTTGCCATCAAGGATGGCAATGAAGCCTCGGACGCGCTCCGGAAGGAGTTCATCCTGCAAGTCCGCAAGAGCATTGGGCCGTTTGCCGCCCCCAAGGCCGTGTACATTGTGCCCGATCTCCCCAAGACGCGCAGCGGTAAGATCATGAGGCGCATTCTCAGGAAGATTCTGGCTGGCGAGGAGGATCAGCTTGGCGACATCACCACGGTATGTCATCCAAATTCATTGCAAGTTGCCTTGTCTGGGTCGGTGACTGACACCGAGTGACAACAGCTCTCGGACCCATCGGTCGTCCAAAAGATTATTGCCGTTGTACACGAAACGAGGAAGAAATAAATGATGGAAGTTCTCTGTTCGGTTGGGTGGAATTGAAGGATGTACTATTCAGGGTTATACCACCGTCTCTGTTGTCTATCATGAGATCTTAGTGGACAAGGTTATGCCGCTTGAGCCAGTCTTCTATCTTGAGTAGCGCTAGATGATTCTCAAGAGTGCGCTTATGCATGGATCAAATTGATGATGGATGAATGATACATACTGCATACCTATTCGTACGTTGTGTGGGAAGGAAACACGCGAGAGTGCAAGCCTAGGTACTAACTTCAACATATGATCCATCCCACCAGACATTACGAAGTACACGCCTCGTCTTCCTATGGAAGCGCACTCACAGGCGCGCAGTGGCCTGGACTGCAGTGCCGGCAGCCCCACCCCACCCACCTTCAGAATCACTGCAGGTCTGCGTTCCTTCCACTCTCAACTTGCAACCCAGAATCAAAAGCACCTACCTCACCATGTCCACGTCTTTCGGCGGGTATCCCTCCCATTCCTACGGCGGTTCAAATGCAGCGACACCTGCGAGGTCCCACCTCAACCAGACATTCCTGAGCTCGGGCTCACCAGCATTGTCATCGGCCATGGTCGACAACTTCACGTCCGAGATGAGAGATCGTCAGGCCCGGGGCAAAGATCCATACCACTCGGGCGATGGTTCCGATGACGGCAGCCTGACTGACCGCGAATCGGGGCCTGGGTCCAGGTTGCGGCTAGGGACTGGCCGGTAAGTGATGCCTTCCTTCCAACACCAGATCCCATTTGTGGCTCAATAACACCTTCCTCCCCTCCCGAACCAGCGTTGAGAAGGAGGACTTCGCTCGGGTTGAGCGCCGTCAGAAGGCCATCGCCTTCCTCGACAACCCAGAGCTGCTCATGATGTATGCTCAATCTACGGGGGAGGTGAGTGTTCGGTCCTTTCTCCATATCAACGGACTGCAACACCAACACCCAGCCAGAGTATTCCGGCCGCTCGTCTCCATTTCACGAAACTCCTGTGCGGTTACGACGGGGAGGAGGCACAGCACGGCACCGCGTACGGTTCCCACCTGAGTCCTCGTCGAGACCTTCAGTCAGCGAACAAGCAGAGAGGTGGCCGCGACACCAGGACCAACAACTAGCTTCATGTCCGCGTCCAGACATTGCCAACCATCAACGCCAAACAGCACAGACAGCAAAATCATGCAGAATACCAACGGCAGCAGACCACCGACTGACTACTCGGATGGTCCGCCTCCTCCTCATGAGTCCCGGTGAGCCCGTAGCCAGCCACGGATACCATGGGAATTATCCACCACAGACGTCCACTTCGCAACACAGGGACGTTTCAATACCCTCCTCTTTTATGCCACCGGTCGCCCCCACCCTGAGCCGCCGTCGTCGCCTACGCAGTTCGAATCGTAGGTCTAGCCCCGGGGCTGGCCTCGGCATGCAGGAGAAGCGCAGCCGAACCCTAGCCGAGCAGCGGCAGGAGCAGCAGCTGCAATAGCAAGAGTTTGTCGAGACCGTCACCCGCTCCCAAACAGCACGCTTCATGCCGGTCTCATCCTCCATATTCTTCGCAGCCCGTGTCTATTCCAGCTTATCTTTTTCCTCATCCCGCTCTGTTTCCTGGCAGCCCTCATCCTGTCCTACCGGTTCGTCTATACCATGTTCTACACGTCACTCGGTGGAGCTATGGAAGATATCCGCCCATTGGAGGTTGAAGAAGCGGAGGATGTGTTGCGGAATATAACGCTTAGCGCGGAACCTAACTTGCGTACTAGGTATGTACAATTCTTCGTCCTCCTTCCGCTTTCTCTTCCTCCGCCTTCTCTCACTTTCTGTCTTAATCTTCTATTTGTATCTTATACTCTTTCTTCCTTGGTTTCTTTGCTCAAATCTCGTTCTTTCCATTCACGTCATTAGTACTGCCCGCCATGTGCCCCGCTAATAAACAAACTAGGTTGGATTGTACTAGACTCAAGAGGGGAGTGTTTTGACTTGCGGTCCCGCCTGGTATAGATCGTTTTGCCATTTCAGCCTTTGGGCCGTGAGTCTGCTGCTCTGGCCAGGACGAACATACCCCGGAGCTCTGTCTCGTAGCGGAGGATAGGGTGGCAAATTGGCGATCCACGGATTATCAGAACAATACACTGTCCATTACATACCTGGGCAACATGCGCAATTGTAGACTCAGCCAGCTACTGTTGTCTCTGGCAGACACTCGGAGATTGGTGACGTTGGGCATCTCGCTGACTACGCCGTACTAAGTCTGGACGGCCATGGAGCAAAGACAATTCGACACAACGGTGCATCGAGATGAAGGGAAAGAGAAGTGAATTGATCTTTTATACCCAACCAAGAGATATGTCATCATCGTTCCAAATATATACCCATACACCCAAGCCGTTGGCCCATACGTACGACACCAAGAGCGCTGTAAACACAAAAAACATAATACCCAACAGGAAATTGATACTCGCCGGCTACATACCTAGGAAAAGCAAGGAGACATCCTCCAGAAACGCCAGCTTTGTATGCAATTGCTGCCGACAAACAAGCAAAAATCATACCAAAAAATCTATATAACCAAAACCAGCCGCGAGACAAGGCCAACGCAAGGCAAGCCGGGCCGGGTATCATCACGCATACCTGAAACTCCTCGAACGCATCGGCTCGTACTGCTGCCCGCCGGCCATGCCCATGACACCTTCCTGGTGCAGCGGCACCGGCGCATACGAAGGACCGGGCCTCATCATGGGTGGGGACGCGGCGCCGCCGCGACCACCACCACCACCGCCACCCACGGCGCGGGCGCCAAAGTAAGCGGTCGGTCCCGGCGGAATCTTGGGAGGCGAAGACCGCCTGCGGCGGCGGCTCCGCGCAAAGCAGGACCAAAGGCAGCTGATGAGGGCGAGGAGCAGCAGGCCGCCGACGACGCAAAAGACGGGGATGGAGATCTGCTTGTTGTCGCGGATCCAGTCGAGGATCTGCTGGCCGAGGGAGGAGCCGACGCAGTTGCCATTAGAGCAGCGGCCGCCGCCCTCGCAGGGGGTGCCGTCGAGAAAGTACTGGTTCGTGACGTAGCACTGGTTGTCCGGCAGGTTGGCCGAGTGGCACGAGACCTGGCAGCCCGACGAGGAGCACGAGCCCGTCACGTCCGACATGAAGGTGCGGCACTGCTGGTCGCGCGACGTGCAGCGGCCCGAGGCGCAGGCGAGGCCGTTGCCGCACGACTGGCCGTCGGGCGCGCTCTGGTCGGCGGGGCAGCCGGCCGACGTGCCCGAGCACACCTCCTGCGGGTCGCAGGAGCCGGTGCTCGCGCGGCAGACGGTGCCGTTGCCCATGAAGGTGCACTGCGGCGTGCAGCATTCCTCGTTGGTCGGATCGCAAACGCTACCCGTCGTGTATTTGCACGTCCTGGGGTCGCAGCAGGGGTTGTTGGCGCAGCTGGCTTCCCCGCCGCAATCGCAGTCTTCGCCGTGCTCGACGATGCCGTTGCCGCACTGGCTGCCTGTGAAGGTAGTTACGCCTCTATTGCTGGTTAGGCAGCTGGCCCGGTTTGAGCGGCCGAGAAAGCTGCAGATGTTGCCGATGCTGCAGGGCGAAAAGTTGGTGATGCGCTCACCGGTCGACGGGTTCATGATGAACTGCGAGTTGGCGTTGCACGTGTTGGAGCTGAGCGGGCAGCACTCTTGTTTTTGGACACTCCCGTCGGCGCATGTCGTACTGACGCAGTCGTGAACAGCGCCGAATGTATGGCCCGTCTCGTGGGCGAAAACCAGCCACTCAGTCGACGTTCGAACGACAACGTTGGCGGATGCGCTCGTCTCGTTATTACGAGTCGTGGATCCCTCCTGGCAGATGGCGCCGAGCCAAGCCAGGCCTACGGCAGCGCCGCTACTGCATGTGGACAGCAGAGTCCAATAGGCATTCGTGTCCTGCCACTGCCCGCGCCATTGAGAGAACAGGCTCAGACGGGTCTCGATGTTGAGGCTGTCGCTGCAAGGCGTGTTCCAGGGGGCCGAGGGTGGGGGCGAGCTCGGGCACTCGCTGTCGCTGATGGTCATGTTCTGGATAGCCAGAGAGATGTTGAAGGTGCCCTCGTACAGCTGCGAGGCGGCGTTGACCATCTGGACGACGTTTGAGGTTACGGCATCCTCGGATCCCAGCGCTTTGGTGTAGGTGCAGTCGGTGGCGATGCCGATCAGAGCGACCTTTCTCGTGTTCGGGCAACCCTGGGTAGAGCCGATCGAGTTTGCCAGGTTGACGCCGGCGCCATTTCCACCAGCGATCGTGTCCGTTTGGCGTCCAAAGAGAGCCCTCGGGCTCATCTGCCAAGCCGATATGTCCCGGGCCGTCTCCTCAACAAGGCTTCTGTAAACGATGTTGTTCTCGTCCCTGTTGTAGACCAGGCTGTCCGACCCGCAAGTTGGCACATTGCTCAGGTCGCGCTTCAGTTCATCGCGGCCCGCAGGTTGGATGTCTGTGTCTCGCCAGACGACCATGTACTCGTCCCCGGCATCGTCAACCTCGGGATCCCCGCTGACCGATGTCTGGCGGTAAGTCGTCTTCGTCTGAACGTGGTGGTGGTCCCCATCGATGGTGAACACGCCGTCAAAAATGGGCTTGTCGCCGTCGCGGCGAACATTGATCCGAGCCCATCCCGCATGCTCCCATCCCCACTCGCCCTGCCGGTGAACAAAGCTCTCGCCCCTAAACACCCGGTGCTCCTGCCTGACGACCGGTTGGACTCGACGGACGGAGCCGTCGACAGCCAGATATTGTACTGTGGCGTCAGCGCCGAAGAGATCGTGGTTGGGTTCGAGAGCTAGGCGGATCTTTTGGTGCGTGTTGGAGAGAATAAAGGAGACATCGAAGGACGAGTGGGCATGTACTCGGTGTGATGGTGTCTGTATGACTGCGTCTTCGATTCGGGCTATCGATGATAGTGGGTTCCGTTTCACCGAATGTGCTACATGACAGCGTCTTGTGTAAGTCGACCGGCGGCGGGTGCAAGCGTGGAGAAAGAGAGGAACATACCTATTGCATCTTGCGCAAGCAGGCCAGCAGCTGTAACAACGGCCGCGAAGGCCTTGTTGAGAACCATAATCTATGACTCGAAAGCGTCTGGTGGCATCCCCTGCTGGCGACCTGGGACTCGAGGTGAGGGGTACCGGAGTAGGGCCGAATGAATGGACGTGAGATTTCGAATGCTTAGATAGGCAGTTGTGTATTACTCGGGATTGGAATTGGGATCGGGCTCGCGCTTAGTTATTATGATCGTACGATACTCGCTACTTTTTGCTGAATGATCGACTCGCAAGGCTGGAGATGCAGAAACATAGAGGGATCGGTTCGTTGTCTGGTTCATTCTCCTCCGGAGAAGAGGGAAAGGGAATGGAACGAAGTGGCAGTGCACACGGTTTTTCGCTCAATGGGTGTGAGCGGTTCGGCTGTCAGTTGTCCGTGAACAGCCAAGGAGGTGTAATGCAGGCCAAGACGACCCTGGCCACCGAGCGAGCCGCCTGATTACGCAGTTGCCAGGGGCTTGCGCTGAGTTAAAAAAGGCACTGCGTCTGTCAGCTGCGGGGCATCCCGTGTTCCCAAAGGGAACCAAGAGTGCCAACAAAGGGCAACCTCAGCCAGCAGTTCGGTAGAGCTCAACACAACCACCAACCTGAAGTCAACTAGACGCGGATTCGTACGTTGTCACTTGCGCTTATAGATGGCATTGTCCCTCTTTCGAACATCAACGCATCATACGGCAGGTATCTTTGAACGGGACAAATGCGGCGTAAGGTCGGCTACTTCTTATCGTACCTAACCGCCATCAAACGCATTTCAGCCAGGCCTCCGCTCGCCGAGCCGTCCCAGATCCGGCCGTTGCGGGTTTCATAAACTCACCCTTCCCAAAACAGCCCAATCCTGCATGTTATGGTGTTTTAGGCCCCTGTGAAACTCTGCAATTATTTCCAGCCGCCGGAGGAAAGACTGGTTGATTTGCGCTATCCGTAACCGCTAGAGAGTAAGGATGATTGTCAAACCATTATTTTGTTCGCGAGCCAGTCGCTTGATAAGATATTTGCGTCTGGTTGCTTTTAAACAAGATTGTCGAGCTCTAAAAGAAGAATCATCTAGCTATCCCTAGTTAATCTTAATTGATGTTCTCTTTCCTTTCCCCGTTCTTTTTTTCTCTCGCTCTCTTCGACTCCCTTCAGTTACTTCTGTCTCCTTGGTCCTCTCTTCTGATCAGGACACTGAACAAGTGCCGCTCAAGAGAAGGATCACAAACAGCGTTGATTTGTAACTGTGAGGAGACAGCCTGTTTCCAATAGGTATTTGCTTGTTGACGGTTTTACTTTGCCTTGGTCCGTTTGTTAGCCCGAAACATAGATACTCTTCTTATAACAAGTTATCCCTTCTTTCTCTTTCATTTTCACTCGCTTGTATGAGTTTTCTTCCTCTTCCTCGTCCTCTTTCCCTCTTCTTCCTCTTTATCCTTGTCTTCCTCCGAGCCGCCATTGTCTTACTTTTTATCTTCACCTCCTATATCTTTCTCTTTATTTTCCATTATTTCCTTACTTTCCTTGACTTTCATGCTTCTATTCATGTCTCAGCAATGCCCATCATGTGCCACGGTAACGAACAAACCGTGGCTGATGCAGATATGTTCCCATGGCTGTGGCACCTTCCATCTCGATCTGATATTGCCTTTTACTGCATGTGCTGCAGCTCTGCTGCCTGAGGAATCACCAACACAGCTACAAAACCGTCCTCCCAACCGGAGACGCACTCGGTCAGCGCTGTGCTCAGTGGGCTGCCGTGCATGACCAAGCATTGACTACAGCGAACCATCGCCGCACTTTCACAAAAAAGTGTTACGCGTCCACGTTGCTGTGCACCTCTTGGCTTTCAAGTTCCAGGACGTTTGACTGCGCAGCTGATTGAACCAACCTTCGGTCAAGACTAGAATTTCCAATTGATGCTGGCACAACGTCATGGTGGCTGCTTCTGGGTGATGAGAAACCATCCAACACCGGCCGAGCAACTACCAAAGAAGGACTGCGGAGTAAGGCACCGCCATGGTTGTTGACGACGTCCCTTCGGGGTTCTTCTTCGATCTTAACTCCGGCAGCAAGCTTGTCTATGAAAGCCAGCCCTCAGCGGCTCGGAGAATGGGCAGCGACAGGAAAACGGGAGAGAGGAAAGGAGGAGGAGGAGGAGAGGGTTGCTACTGTCCGAACAGACGCTCTAAATCCATCCAGTTAACAGAGAGAAAACAAGGTAAGGTATCTTTAATCCAGCCCAGAACCGCACTCACAGGACGCCGTCACGCCCACGGCCATCTCCCCTCAACACCCGCTTCATAGAAACACTCAGCTCTCCACCGCCAGGGCCTTCGCGCCGACCAACTTGGCCCCTTTCCCCTGCCCCTCGGTCGTAACCACCCAGTACTCAGCCTTGACCCCTTTCCGCGTCACCCTGTACACCCTCACATCATTACCCTGCCCCGCCTCCCTCACCGCATCCACAATCTCATTGTACTGCCCGTTCCGGTCCCAGTCGACAGGATCCATGATATCAACCTCGGCATTCGCCGGATCCCAATGCCCAATCAACCCAGCAAACTCCTCTGTCACAGGATTAGCCGTTGCACCAACACCATTGCCATTGTCCCAAGTCGAGCGAATAAGAAGGTAAACAAGAAGAGACAAACCTTCATCAGGCAGCCCTTTACCGCTCTCATCCCAGCGAAGCGCCACAGCCTCAAACGGTTCGTCGGCATCACTGACATAAAACACTCCCTTCCCACCACACACACGGACCAAACTTTCGGGCACCTCGACCCCTTCCTCGGTGGTTCTAAACGACTGTCCACCCTCCTCCTTCTTCTTCTTGTTGGTATTGGTGGTGGCAAGGCCTTTGGCCGGGTCCTCATTCGCCTTCTCCAGGAAAGCCATGTAATCCCGATCCGCCTGGTCGGCAGAGGACGAAGAAGCCATCGTCGTCGTCGTCGTGGTAAACAATCGCGTAAAGGACGAGCGGGATATCTGCTGCTGGTAGTGGCAATAGAGTCCTCTAGTGCTATCCGAGTCTCGAGCTAACGGCTGCGCTGTGCGCTGTTGTGAAACGACGAGTAGTGCTGAACGACGCTCAGTCTGGATGCAGGCCGTAGTGGGAAGCGGACGTAAACAGGGAGTATTGCGGCGGAAGGGGGTTCTGCGGAGTATGCGAATATGGTTTTTCGCGTATTGTGGTAGGTTGACAGATTCCACAGGCGGTTGCTGTGTGGTGAGGATGGACTGTGAAACACGATTGCGGAGGGTTGAGACCATGTTGAAAGCGTTCAAGCTGAGGCGCAAAGAAGCGGGCGACGATGATGTAACCTCTGGTTCTGCCATGGATTCGGCCAGCATCGGCAGGGTGACTAGCTCGGCGCGACTCCACTTTCGGATAAAACAATCTACTTCGTGCATTGGGCTCCTTGTTGACTTTCTCGACAGCTTGCGTAGACAAAACACAGCACAGAGCAGCAGAGTCGAGTGGCAATTGGTTCATTTTCCCATTCCTCTTATGCAACCTTTACTAAGCTGGAAATGCTAGGTAAAATCCATACCCCATCCCAAAGAGCAACGAGAACCGTGACACCAATGCCATTGTAAACCGAGAAAAAGCACAACGAAGGAAACTGCACGCATTATGAGCTGGCGGCCAGATCCTTTTTGAGCGTACCCTGGTACTGCTTCTTCTCCGCCGGGGTCTGGAAGGCACCATGACCAAACTCGGACGACGTGTCGATCCATTTGAGCTCGACCTTTTCCAGGGCCTTGCGCGAGGTGTGCACGAACATGGACTTGCGGAGAGTCATGATGCGCTTCTTGACACCGGGGACAGAGCCCTTAACCATGACGAAGTCATTGTTGATCTCGCCGTAGCGGACGAAACCACCCATGCTGTAATAGCCCGTTAGAGATTTGCAGAATGAATACATTTGAAAAGCTCGGGCCAAACTCACGGAGTGATCTTCTTCTTGGTGACATCAACGTCAGTAGCGGCGTTGTCGTCGGCATCGCCCTTGCCGATGCGGTAGACCTTGTGGTTGACCGAGGTACGGTGGTGGTAACCCATCTGACCAGCACGGGCAACAGTCCACTGGACGTGGGACGGGTGCCAGGCACCGATACAGGCGACCTTGCGGAGACCCTTGTGGGTCTTACGCGGCAGCTTCTTGGTACCCCAGCGGGCGGTAACACCGGAGAAACCGTGACCCTTGGTGACGGCAATGACGTCAATCATCTCGTCCTTCTCGAAGATGGAGTCGATCGAGACGGGCTTCTCGAAGAGGCCGTGGCCGAACTCGACCTTGTCGGCGACGGAGCCACCGTTGATCTGAATCTCCATGAGGTGGGCCTTCTTCTGCTTGAGAGGCGTCTTGCGGATCTGGGTGTGCGCCAGGACGCGAACGACAGTGCAGTACTTCTTGATGCGTTCGAGCTCACGGGTGATGGAGGCGCCGTTGTTCTCGGAGTGCTTCTTGGCGTACTTGGTGAAGGCCTTCTTCTTGCTCTTGTACCAGTTCTTATAGAAGCGGCGCTTGACCTCGTCGCTCAGGTGCTCAGCCCAGACGGTGGTCAGGGAGCGCAGGCCACGGGGAGTCTCGATGTACTGCGTGGTGTTAGACAATTGGCCTCCTCTTCCTCATCCTCGGCCGGACAGCAAAGACTTACACCAACCAGACCCACAACTATCATCTGCGGTGACAGATGTTAGCCATTGACACAAAAAGAGCCAAGCGGGCTGAGTTGCGCGTACAGGTGGGGTATCAATGATTGTCACAGCCTCCACGATCTCCTTCTTGTGAGCCTTCGCACCGGGACGGTCGAGGTCGCGGACGATCGTGGTCATGCCAGCCTTGTAGCCCATGGCGGCCGTCAGGTGGACGGGCTTCTTAGGGTCGTCCTTCGGGAAGCTGGTAACGTAAACCAGGGTCAGCTTTGCAGTTCTGTCGCCAGATACATAACGAAGCAAAGGAAACGCTAGATATTCAGATATCAACTTACGACTTAACCTTGCCCCGGTGGCGGGCAGCACGCTTCCGCGGCAGGTACGCCAGAGAGCCATGGCGAGGGGCTTCGTACTCTGTAATCGGTCAGCTTCAGCTGTCCAAAATCAACAATTGCGCCATATCCAGAGGCGCATATGGTCGATCTCGGCCGCTCCTCGTGAGCAGCTAGAATCCCAATATCGTCCTGCATTGGAGCTGAAGCAACACTAAGAAGAGAGCTGGGTTCTACTCACTCCGGTGAGACATGGTTACTGAAGTCCGCGGTTGGCTTGATGGTTGATGTGATATTCCCCCAGGTCCGGCCACGAAGATAAAGAAGTCGGGAAATTTGGAGGTTCGATTTTTGTGTGAGATGGAGCTACCCGACGCTCGGGCCAACTGCAGCGGAGCCCTAACTGGAAAATTCGGTATCTGAAAGTGGGGCTGCCAAGCAGTTTCTGCACGTGACTTGAGAATATTAAGCTGAAGTCTACCACACGCAGTAAGGGTTAATAATCCAGGAGGCGGCGATGGCAGTCAAGACCTGGGGACAGAGTCACGGTAGTCTCTTTGGAATGGCAGAAATGGTCAGCAAGAAAATGTACGCGATCTATTCGAGAGTGGAATAGATTGAAAAGCAAGAGAACCCTCGTTCCATCAGCACGATATCTGTCTACCGCAGGCTACATGACTCCTGAAAACTCGTCAATGATATGGTATTCCACCCATCCCACCACACGTTTTATGGCCAGCAAGTTCAAAGCGAAACAACTACTCCTATGACACAAACTCGCCTGCTAACCACTGTCTGCAAAAGCCGGGTTCCATCATGTCTCGCTGATCCAACACCAGATGACAAAGGGGATAAAGAGAAACCAGATATGAGGTAGTCCAGCCAAGTGGCTGATAACTTGTAAAATGTGATCGCAAAGAGTTGCGCGAGCAGAACCGGTATAGAGAGTGAGAAGCCTGTGCAACGGGCTGGAAGATTCGGTGCAGCCTGGGACACAAGCTGGATAAGACTGAGTCGAAGGCTCCAACAATCGTAGTATTCGAGTCATGACAGCCTGCAAAGTGCCCCAAGAAGCTGCCTTGAGCCCAGCTATCAGCCTCAACCAGCAATGGACAGAACGCCAGCTGCCCTTTGTCTTGATCCAGCGGGTTGATCGTCTCAGTTTCCGTTCATGCTAGCGCTAGTGGGCGTTCCATTCTTCAACTCCGTTGCCGTCGCGGCGCCAGGGGCGGAACTCGGACCAACGATGACTTTCTTGTCTTCCTCGCCACTGTCATCGTAATTTTCATCCACGTCCATTGTACGAGCGGCTCGTTCAGGCTCGCTGACCATGGGAGGGTGGGCAGCAGGCGGGTGTTCCATCCGCCTCTCCTCCGGTCCCGAAGGATACTCCTTCTTGGCAGGTACAGCCTGAGAGCCAGACCCCTCATGCATAAGACCCTGCATGGCGGACGGGCCTTGCTGCATGGGCGGCAAGTGACCGGGGATTGAGTGCGACTGTGGCTGGTGGGCGGCCTCGGAAGGATGGTAACCCTCGTTTCCGTGGCGCTGTTCGTCTGCGCGGCGCATCTCGTCCGCACGACGCTGCTCCTCCATGCGTCGCTCATCAAAGCGCCGAGCTTCGGATGAGGTACGGCGATACGACTCGAGACGGGTAGGTGTGGAGGGACGACGATGGCGGATGTCTTCCATGCGTGCTCGTGTCTCCTCGGTCGTAATCTTCTTGACATCTCGCTCGTCCTCCCACTCGCGCATCCTCTTCGGGCCGACGGAGGACGGACGAGCATCATGCTCGCGATGAAGAGATGGGTCCGCAGGCATGCCAGGCTGCGGGGGAAGCGCAACACCAGGCTCAGGACCGTGAGGGCCTGCATGATCAGGGTGTGCTGTGTATGGAGGCTGTTGCTGGGGATATGCCGACTTGGGAGATGGCATGCGGTTCTCATGCATGGGCGGTCGACCATCGTTACGGGGGCTGCCTGTGCGGTAGGGCATCAACGGGTTCGAGGGAGCTACGCCGGGGCCAGGGGCCGAGGCGGGCTGAAGGACCGCTGCCGGGGTATGGCCCCCGTAATTCGGGTTTCGGACACGAGGGGGCTGGGGTCCCTGAGGAGGCTGCTGGGCTTGCTGAGGAGGGGGAGGCGGCTGGGGAGCCGCGTAATGGGCTGGAGGTGGAGGGGAGTGACCACGTCTGTGCTGATCTGGTAACCGGTTGACATCTTGGTACGGCCTCATCTGCTCCTGTTGGGGACTGGCAGGTCGTTGACCGGGAGGCGGCTGCCCACGAAACGGCTCACGATCGGCAGCATAAGGGTTCCGCGGCTGGGGGGGAGGATTAATATCCGAAATCCTACCTCCCCACGAGCCCTGCCCGGGGCCTGGAGGGCCACCGTTGAGCATCGGCTGCTGCGGCGGCGGAGGCGCCGCCCCAGAACCAGAACCAGCCCATTGTGGTCCCGGGGGACCAACGGCGCCAGCAGCTTGGTACGCCTGTGGATGAACATCAGTGGGCTGTCCGGGCGGGGCACGACTGGCTTGTCCGCTGTGGAGCAGCTCCAGCCGGGTCTTAATATGGGGGTTGTTCGGGTCAAGCTCAGCAGCGCGAGTGTACGCATCAAGGGCATCCGCAGTCTGGTTATTGCACGACTCGTACTAAGGGGCCAAGTCAATATAATGTCGTGAGAAAGGATACAAAGGGCCGCAACTTACCAATGTGCCCAAGTCGTACCAGACTTCTGAGATCCAGGGGTTCAGACGAATGGCGCGCGAGTAGGCATCCAACGCGTCGCGATACTGATTGATCTGGTAGTATAGCACACCAATGGAGCACCAGAAGGTGGGATTCCGGCCATCCCGATACACGGCTTGCTGATAGGCTTCATATGCCTTGGGGTATTTCTGCATCTGCATGTAGCAGCGGCCCAAAAGATACCAGCTTTGCGCGTCCGAGTTATCTGTCTAGTGTGAGCAGTTTGCACTCTCCCAAAAAAAGGGTGAATGGACAAGAACTCACCAGCAGCCACAGACTTCTCCAAATACTCGATGGCTCGCTCCTGGCTATCAAAATGCTGGCTCTGGGTGTGATGCAGCCATCCGAGCTGTTGGAGCACCTTGGCGTGGTTGGGGTCACGGTCGAGGACTCGATGGTATGCGATCTTTGCGTTCTCGAACTGTAACTGTGTCAGAATGTAAACCCTTCCAAGATTGGCGTCTGCACCTACGTCTTTCTGTTGCTCATGGACGTGGCCAATTTGGAACCAGATGTCCTCCTCTGTGAGAGGGGTGGGCGGTGAGTTCACGATGTACTTGAAACACTACGAGGTACTCGGATCAGCGCTTGGTCCGCTGCCTCTAATTCTGCTGCAACTCACCTCGAGCGATTCATTGTACTTCCCCTGCTGTTTGTAGATAATACCAAGCCGGAAATAAATCTCGTGGGCCTTATCAAAGTCCGGCTGCATCTTCATAACCTGCGCGAACGCGTCTTCGGCATGGTCCAGCGAGCCATACCTATCGTACAGAATGCCGATGCCATACCAAAGACGGGGCTCCTGTCGGATTTTGTTGAGCGACAACTTGCTACGATCGATGGGGGAAAAAAGACAACTTACCTTGGGATTTGGGAGGTGAACCAAGGCTGTCTGGTAGGCATTGTAGGCTTGCTGCAAGTCATCCATCATCAAATAGCAATGTCCTGGCGCCTATGGTGTTAGCTGACCATCTTGCCCGGTTTGACGACTGGTGCACGCACCCAGGCAGCCCCACGCCTCTCCGTTCCTCTCGTCCAGTTTCAGAATCGCATTCAGGTACTCGGCGGCCTTAGGGAAGTCCTCGCGGGTTCTGAGCACCGAGCTCATGGCGTTCATGGCGGGAATCGAATTCGGGTTAGTTCGGAGCGCACGCTCGTACGAAGCCATCGCGTCATCGAGATTACCCATCTGCTCGGCTAGATTGCCTTTATTATGCGTTAGCCAAGTCCAATGGCGGCAAGACAACAAACCAGGGAGTTTGAGTCATAAGGCAAAGTGCGCATTTACCAAGTTGGATCCAGACCGCCTCCGTCTGCGCCAGCAGAGTCTGGCGCGACGAGGAAAATGACTGCGGGACCGGAGGGCGCGCAGGTCCCGGCGGTCCATGATGCATCTGCATCTGCATGGGCGGCGAAGGATGATGGTTTGCCATCATGCCCGACATTGCTAGTAAGGTGCGTTGTTTTGAGGAAGGCTGGTCAAATTCATCAAACCTGCCCGACAGTCGACGCGATAGGCGCAAGCCGTCCAAGTCAAGGCTTGAATCCGACGATAAAATTGAGAATTGCGACTCGCAGTGTTGCTACCCGCGTTTCTGCGTGGGGAGTTGCGATCAACTCAACTCCCGCACGCCGTCTCCCACAGTCAGTCAACGGATGACACCAAAAAAAAACGGCCAAAGGGCACGAGGCGCAAAAGCGAGATGAAAAGACAGTCGAGAGTGCGAAATGTTCCTGCTACGTTGTTCGGTCAAAGTGTTGGCCCGTCTAGGTCAACGGAGTGCGCACAGGCAGAAGGAAGGTGGAAGTCGGGGAGAAATCTCGGAATGGGGAGGGAGTCGGGGTTGGCGAGAATCCATTTCGGCCAGCCGTCTGAGAGGCAAGTAACAACCCTTACCCACGGGACAGACAGGGGTCCTGTAATTGTGGTCCCGTTCATGTCTCGCAGTCCAGCCAAGGTTGGGGGACAATTCGCAGCGAGGTAGCGGTACCTTGCTCGTTGTCCTGCATATCCACACCACTTCGTCTTCTCTGTTGATAAACTGACAACGTTCACCCAGTGCGTACTGGCGCTCCGCTGATACCTCCGTTCCCGTCGCAATCAGATCGGGAACATGTCCTTTCTGTCCTTTCATGCTGATTCAAACACTGCACCCCGTGGCCGGTTCGTTCAAGCCTGTTCCTCAGTCCTGGACAGATGCTTCCCATGAAGCCATCTTAATGAGCGGCACCCTACCGAGGGAGGACAGCGCCAGGGAGGACTCCGAGCTTACGTAACTACTTCGGTAATGTTTGAATCCGAGCCTTTTCGCCTACCGGAATCATCAGCGAGTCAAGCCCTTTTCACCTAAGGTACCTTACTTAGGCTTGGTGCCCAACTTGTATCAAGAACAAAGCGGTACAACCAGCCTCTTCAGGGGAGCGTGTTCCCGGAGTAAGCGGCTACGCCATTTCGCTTTAGCGTGTGTGGCGACAGCTGGGTTCCACGGCCTGGTCCCATCCCATGCATCGGATCCACACACCATGTTCCCCGTGCTCCGTCACCCAACGAGCAGATCCCGGTTGCGGAGACCCCACTTGTACAAAAGTGTGGGCGTCAATCCACGAAGCAGCTGCCACCACCTCAGCATCGTTGGGACTTGCAACCACTTGACGTCTCCTTTTCTCAACCTGAAAAATACAATCCAACTCTGCGTTGGTTACTGTGGTGCATGACGGGCAACCGCTAAATAAAATGAAAGATGATAGCTAAGGAAGTTGAAAGGTAAAGAGAAGAGAAAGCCATAAGTGAAGATAAAGTGGAAGAGCTGAGGAAAAGAAAGACATTAAGGAAGCGAATGTAGAAGAAGAAAAAGTGAAAGAAGATAAAGATTGAAAGAGGATAGAAGTTGAAGAAGATAAGTTGGAAATATACGCTAATACTTACGGCTTCCAAAAGCGTTTCACAAGGTAAGCTACACCCCGATATGGAATACTCGACGTGAGCTCGGCCAAAACCTGTGCTTAGGGCCAGAGTGATGTCCCTGAACGGCCCTTTGACATTTTACGTGACGGATGCTGATGAGCAACCCGGAAACTGAGATGTATCATGTAGCCGGTCGCAGACTCACTCGGGTATGCTGGTACACACAGCCTCTTCTTTCTCACCTTGAGGTCAAACTGAGGGCATTTCGAGCATTTTGAATGGGTACCCAATTACCTACATCCCTTGCGCAACCTCTTACATCCCGCAACACAAGCAGGCTCGGCAGGCTTGGTGGTCATGCCGTCACAAGAGATGGCAAAGAGGCGAGACGTTGTCGAGCCGTACGCACCAGCTGGCGCAACCAGATTGTTCTACGTTGATTCAAAGAGTCAAATCCCGGAGGAAGTCAGCAACTTCAAATGCAGCGCATTCGCTAACGACTCGCGGATTTCTGGGTATATGACAAGTACACGTGTACATCCCTCTCTCTGCCGACCTAGCACGTGCGGTAGAACGTTGCCTCGGAGAGGGCTACCTTCAGGTATGAAAGCAATATATAGAGACAGGCTTGTCGACGCGAGCAAGATCAATCCTCGGCAGTGATTTGCACCGGTATTGTTGATCCCTTTTCGGCTTCCTTGTACTATTCTTATATGAGCACCACACCATCTCCGCATTCTGTATCCGTAGCCCGGCTTTAGCCCAAACCCAGAGGCCCAAGTCGTGTCTTGAACTGAAGGTCAACAGAGAGCAAACCGAACTGATGCTATCAAACGTCACAGCACGTCTAATTTGGCTCCAGACATGGCTGGTAATGGTCATTTGCAACTTGTCGATATCATTTCGAAGGAGGGAGACTACCTTAGTATGCTCGGTATCATTCGCCGGCTCTGGCAGAATGGTGGCATGAAACTCCTCCGAGAGAAGCATCAGATGAAGATGAGTCTGCAACTTTGACAGAGAACGCACGACTTTTTGATTCGAGAGGTGTTCGTTAACGTATAATTCCGACATCACTTGATCGCTTGTGAGCCCCGAAATCATTGTAATCATATAAACCGGCGAGTTGGCATTCTGCGCTGTCGGTTCTGTGCGGAGACACGGTTTCATTTGAGAATGGGGCCAAGGCCTAGAGAAAGCAAAAGTCGTGCAGCTTGCAGGCTTCGATGTGGTCGAGTGTGCCAGGACCTCACGCAGTAACCGAGGCGCGCTGACCTGTCTGCAATGCATGATGAGAGGGATGAGTCGAAGAGCTGCGGGCGGCTCAGTGGCTCGGGGGGGTTTAACGATGAGGTGTGGATTTCGAAAAGCCAACGCAGGGGTGGATCTATCGCTTCTTGGCGAGATGCAGGCTGCGGAATTTTTGTGTTCAACACCGAACATCGTCATGGATGGTTGGATGCAGCATTGCAGCCAAGGTACTTCGTACCGTAGGCGCGGCCCTCATCAAAGCTATCTTGCGCGTTTTCCGGCAAATTTTTTATTCATTCTGTGGCTACGGCGTGTTGATGGGTTCTGCCAAGTCAGAGACTAGTGATAACCTTGGAGACGGCCTTTCTACGGTACTACGGATATGGGGAGCTTTCATCAAGCGTGGATTCATCCCTCGCTTCCAGATTCCCCGCCTCCTCTGCTTCAAAACTATCGGTACTTACGTACGGTACCGTCCTCAGCGCGGAACTACCGCTCGCTACGCTACGGATGTATTCACCGCCAGCTTTGTTCTTGACAGGCTGAGGTGGCATTCTACCATGTGTCAGCTGCGTTGGCCCGTTCCCTTTTCAACAGTTGATCGTCAGACACCACAGCCAGTGCGCTCCCCGACGATCCTCAATCGATCGTCGGATGGAGCTTGGCATTGAGCCGAGCGTCTGTTACCGGCCAGTTCCACCGGTTGCCGACCTGTTGTGGCGGAAGCCTGCGAGGTTTCGTGCACAGTCCCATGTGGTCATGAGAGGGTGTTTGCCGCAAGAGGGTAATTGCAGCATGCACGAGCAGCAAGAGGGAATAGGGTGTCGGGCGTCGGCAGCACTGTTGGGCAGGGCACAGCACGTGAAGGCCTCGGGCCTCCTGGTCTGATTGCGTGGTGATGCCAAGAAACGCCGAGAAAGGCTTGTTGATCGGCCACCGCTCCCGTGGAGCAAGGGCAGAAAAGGGAAAAGGGTCAAACGCTCGGATGCCCCAGAAGAGCATCGCCTCCTTGGCGTCGCGTCACCTTGTGTATGTATTCCGTACATACAGTATAATCCCAGCCGCTGTCACAACCTCGGGATGCCTTTGCACAAGGCAGATGGATGACTTGCCCTACGGTTATTTGAAAGTAGCAGAGCCTCGATTCGCCGGCGAGCGATGCCGCCAGGTCTCGCGGTCTGTTGGTTGGGCCACGGTGGTCAGGCAACCTTTGCCCGCAATGGTTGGTCTGCAGCACCCGATCGAATCGCTGGCCAGAGCCAGGCCCGACTCAAAACGCGTGCCGCGGACCCTTGCCGGCCACACGGGCTGAGCCAACGAGGGACTGCGAAGCACGCCGGGGCAAGTTATGTACTGTAGCGATCCCGCTTACCGCTTTGGTTCACCTCAGCCACACCACGCTATCCGGAACATCGGTGAGCCAAGCGTTGAACACCATTAGATCCGGGCAAAGATGCCGGCCATCTAGCCGCCAATACCCACTTCTACTTCTCAATATGCTCGCCTCATTGCGCCAGACTGCCCGGCGATGGCTAAGGTACTCTAACAATATGATGAACAACCTGGAACTCACTTGGCTGTGTGCTCCTTACCCGCAACGGAAGCTTCGCTCAAAGCCAGCTAATCGACTCACAACGCTAGGCATGACATCCGAGAGGAAACTTGTGTTTCATTCTCCATTCCAGTTAGCGGAGTACCTGAATATTCCGTACGAAACAAGCGCTCGTGACTTGCAAGGGGCCAGGCAAGAAGAACAACCATCAACCGCCCCCTGTGATACCTTGTCCATAGTAAACTTGTGGCATCTGCCGTCATTCTCAGGGTAACCTGGTGAAGCATACCTATTCCATCCGGATGTGGTCAAGTACTAGATACTAGATTGGCTTATTAGGTGACTGCACAATCGAGTTACAGGCGAGCCCTCTTTCCTGTGCCTGATTCATTTGCTTCTGTTTCTCGGTGTTCTTCATTGCCTTGTGGCTGTACGCGTCTCTCGGGCCCAGTCCCAGGCATCGGGGAACAACATTATGCAACTTGACGATACGGCCAGCGAGGACAGCGCTCCAAGATGCCTGTTGACATGTGCACTCTTTCCCCTTCTTCTTGTTTCTTCTTACACGGAAAGATGGTAAGGTATAGTCCTTGATATAGATTGCTTTCCAGGGAGGAATGATCCCAAACAATAACAGGACATGATAGCTCCGCTTGACCCATTTCCAAGGACATTTAGCAACACCAAAGGCACTAAAAAACGAGCCCAAACCCCTCGATGTTGGGAAAATACTTCTTGGCCCACGATTATCTTAGCGACCAAATCCCGACGTGCCATGCTCACCCACCAGCCAGCCTACAAAACAGTAGGTGACTGAAATCAGGTATGTGCTAATTTCAGGACATGATGGCCTTGAACCAAACGAGGCTACTGCAGTCCCACCTTGATGCCTGGAGAAGCTACACGCGGTTAACTTGAAGTTCCCACTGCCTCTGTGACGGTCAATGTATTTAGCAAATCACAATTCAACCATAGCTCGTAGGGCAACAGAATATCACATTTGCTATACAGCACGATGATAGTGCTCGTGGCACCTTCATACTTATTCACGATCCTGTGAAGTATCGCCATCCGTCATGACAAGTCGCCCCATTCCCGCGGGCGGGTATCAGGTATTCGAACTGCCCCTAAGAGGGATGTATTCCCTCCAGCCTACCATCAACTTCTAGAATTCCCAACTTGAAAGTGATGCTCTCATCGCCCAAACCACCGGATATTGGAGGCAATTATTGAATCTGTTTCAAGAACGCTATTCGCTCTACGCTCGCTTGCTGTACTCCGAGAGTTGGCTGTCTTTGAACCCAGAGGATGTGCTAGATCGCATTGACAGAAACAGCTTGACACATCTCTCTCATATCTGCCACAAACCCACTCAGGGCCCGTTCCTATCCGCATCCGCATCGGGATTATAGTGCGTCTCGCCCAGCAGGCCGCTGCCAGGTGCTGTTTGCGCCGTCATGGCGTTTGGCGGCGGAGCCTGGGGCTGGCTCTGCACGGTCGGCCCGGTCGCCGACGGGATAGGCGGAACCACGGCAGGCGGGACTGGCGCGCTTTGTGCCCGGGCGGCGGCGGTGGCAGTGGCGGCGTGCAGACGCTGGTCGAGGGCCCGGAGCGCGAGCGCCCTCCTCCTCTCCGCTTCGGCGCGGGCACTTCCCGGAGCGCCGCGGTGGGAGAAGCCGTGGCTGTGGTCGCCGCGGGCGGCGGAGATGTCGGCGGCACTGAAGGGCACGCACAGGCGCATGGCCACGAGCACGTCGAACACGTGGTCCGAGATGGCCGCGACCAGAGGCCGCACGGGGCCGGGGAAGAACTCGGCAATGGCAAAGGTGTCGCTAGCGTCGCCGCGGAGGGAGTTCGGCTGGGATGTGTCGAGGTCTGGGAAGGCGACCTTGTAAAAGCGCAGATAGGTCCAGCTGACGAGGAAGCCGTAGACGGCGAGGAAGAAGGAGGCGATGGTGAGCATGGGCGTGAGGCAGAGGAGGGTAACGAGCCCGATGTAGAGTAGCGGGAAGCGGGGAACGCGCAGGGAGAGCAGGCCCCTGAAGAGCGTCACGGTGTGCGCCGGGACTAGCTGGCTGAAGGCGACGAGGAAGGAGATTTGCAGGGGGATGGTGCCCGCAATGGTCATGAGCCTGGTGGAAGATCCGAGTTAGCATAGTGCGAAATGATCAGTCCGACTAGACCATGAAGCCGGCGTATACATACGTCCATGCCTCATTTCGTGTGAGGGCGAAGAATAGAATGGAAGTGCCGAAGCAGAGGGTGTTGGGCACGAGGGACGTGACGAGCAGGAACTTGGCGAACTCGCGCGAGGACCAAGCACGCTCCAGGTAGCGGCCGCCATTGTAAAGGGTGAGGCAGGCAATCGACAAGGTGAAGACGTTGCTCTCGACGAAGGTTGTTGTGAGGAAGGTCCAGGGGTAGATGAGGGAGAGTTGTGGGACGAGGTTGAGGTAGGGGATGACGATTTCTGAGTTTGCCGTCCATTGTCGATACCGGATTGCCGCACTCAGCACCGACTGCAGCCCCAGTGCAATGAGCACGATGCGGGTGACTGGCGGGATGTTTATTCGAGGTGGCATGGCGGGCTGGCAGCCGTAGTCGACTTGTGCCTGGGTTGGAGATATGGTCGCAGCCGGCAACTGCGCGGGTCGGCGCTTTCGATGGACAAGTGCTCAGGCCAGCTGCCATAGCCGAAATTCCCCCGGCCTGTCTGATGAATCCCGCCCATGTCCATCTCGAGCTCAGGCGCGAAATCGTATTGTAAATTCCAGTACTGTAACGTCTTGGCATGAAACTGCCTCACCAAAAAGCGTTCAATGTGAGTAAGATCGGAACTATATGGAGTGCGGGTCCATAACAAGGCCTATTCTGCCCTTTGTCCTTGTTGCACACTCATCCAAATTGAGGATTGGAAAAATCGATATGAATACGGTTGCTTCTACGACAAGGTTGACAGCTGGAGTCCCCTAGTAGGGACGGAGCTGGGATCAGGCTGAAATATATTGGTTGACGTGTTTTCGTGTGCGAAGATTCTTGAACTCAGCCGTTCCTCGTCTCTTAAATGATAATCCGTACAGTTAGTCGTTCCCAACAATGTAAACGAAGATAGGCCAATACAATTCATTTCTGTAATTTCCAGCAAAGCCTGAACCGCTCCATTCATCCTCTCGAGATCGCTTATACGAAGTAAAAGTCGATCATGGTTTTGATTTCTGTCCCCGGTCGCCACGCAGCACCCGCGGGGCTGCGCCGTTTGATCTTTGGCCTTGCTGGGTGAGCTTCCTTACCCGAAAAGGTTAAGCGTTCTTCGCCGGCGATTTAGTCGCCCGCCAAACAGGCACGATCTACCCCCTAGAGTTGGCCGCCGGACCCATGCCGCGCTCACGCTTGACAAGGCCGCAACTCGTGGTCCGAACGCTGCCAATGCAATCTCCAAATCTCGGCCGGGCGCTTTTCAAGGTTCCTCTCAACCCTTCAACATCGAATGCACGCCCAACAGAACCCTGAAAACGACACCCTCATCGAAGCAGCACCCGTCCTTGCGCTCACTTATCATATCTGTCAACATTGATAAAGCCTGCTTCATCATTTATCGCCACGATCGCCGCCCACCGGCTCCCAACAATGAAGGAGCTACTTGACACGGATCGTGTCAACTTTTTGATCTGGAGGTTCGTTATTTTCACCCGCCCCAGGTCTGCCCGTGGGGAGGCGGCCTCATCGCTAACTCGGCCTGCTTCAACTTGAACTACAGGTATTTGCTCGAATCAAGTATGTGCACTGCCGCCCGGGCGCTTTGTGAGGCCCGACTGCTGCCGCCGCGCTCTCTTCGTGCGCGTTGAACTGGGGCTCGGTGAGGTGAGACTGACGACCGCAGATTATCGAGAGACGGCCGCCAAGCTGCAGAAGGAATGGCGGGTGCACCAACCTCACAGGCAGTTCGACTTTGCCTCGCATGTCAACACGTATGCGCTGGTGTCACTCTTGAACAAAGGCCTCATCTATGAAGACTACCAAAGACGATTCGAAGCCGCCCAAAAGGTACGGCGTCTCCGGTTATTTTGCCACACACTTGCTCTGTTTTTCCCGTTGTTTGATTTTCTGGGCCCTGCCCTCCATTTTTATGGGTTGCACTCGGCATGGAATTGGCCGGTGAGCTGGTGGTGGCTTTGGGCCCAGGGGGAGGGGCACTAGTGCCGGGGTGCTGACGCTTTGCTCGCAGGCGCCTGGTAATGTGCCGGCAATGGCCGGGGAGCCTCCGCGGGGTGTGTTTGGGCCGCTGAAATTCCAGCCCGAGGAGCCGGTGGACGAGGACGAGGAAGATGATGTGGAATCGGAGCCAGAGTTGGAGCTGGACGAGATGGAAAACCCACGAAAGCGTGCGGTTGAGCGGCAGCATCATCACGAATTGACGCATGGATCCCCCGCAAAACGCCAGCGGCTCAGCAACGGCTACGAGAATGGAGCCGATTTGGCCACCACACCAATGGAAATCGACCCCCACCCAGACAACAACCACGCGTACCCGTCACCGCTCGAAGGCGAACAGGTTGAGTCCTCTATCCTGCGCACCGAAGGACCCTCACGCGGCACGCAGGTTGAGAAGGTCCGCGACCTGACCCAAGGCACCGTGTTTCTGCGCCTGGGCGCCGACGAGTCACCCGAGGCTAGCGAAAATCCTCTTGTGCTCCTCTGCGAGTGGAACCCCAGGAACCCGTCCATCTTGGCGACAGCTGGGACAGATGCGCTAGCCCGCATTTGGACAGTACCTAGTGGAACCGCCCCAGAGCAGGATCCAGGTCACGTGAATACCGCCAGGCCCTCGTTCATGAGCATTGTCGAAGAGGATCTGCCGAAGAATGCCACCGTCTCGGCTATGGCCTGGAGCTCAAGCGGCGACCTCATTGCGCTTGGCACCGAGCTCGGCACCAAGTCGCGCGTGAGCGTCTGGTCGGTTGACGGAACGAGCATACAGCGCTTTGACGGCCTTGACTCGCCCGTCACCAACCTCTGCTGGAGTCCCAACAGCAACTTCCTCCTTGCCATCAGTCCTGATGTGAGCAACGGAGCGGCAAATCCCGGCACTCTGCTTCACATCTCATCTCCTTCGTTGGTGAATTCCGTGTCTCATGTCCTCGAACACGACCTCCGATCCGACAACCTTGATGCGGCATGGATTAGCGAAACCGAGTTCCTCCTGTGCGGTGGCGACTTGCTCGTCTCCTTCAGGTGCTTGGGGCAGGAAATTGTGCGGAGCAGCGAGTTCCAGACAGCCAAGGATGAGCGCTTTACCCTTGTCGAGTTTGACTGGCGGTCGAGACTGGTTGCGACTGCTAGCGACAAGGGCTACATCGATGTGAGTTTCATGCTGTCCTTTGTTGTTAATAATATCCCCGCTGACACTGTTTGTGTCGCTTAGATTTGGGATGAGTCTGGAAAGCGCCGTTCGATACCAGCCCATGACGGAGGTGTCGCCAGCCTGAAGTGGCAACCGCTGCAGGGGGATCCCACTGATGACGAGAGATTGCTGGTATCCGGCGGCGAAGACGGCGCCATCTTTGTTTGGAACGTACGCAGCGCCGAGAACAAGCCCAAGTATTCAATCACAATGCCGCCGCCGCTTGCTGTCAACAATCTCTCAATGAGTCCGGACGGTGCGTTGATTGCTGTAGCGGCTCACGACAGAATCCTGGTTTGGAGAATGGGTGACCATGCGATGCCAATGGCCAGCTGGGTCCCGCAGCCTGGGTGGCAAAGCCCCGGATCCGGGACCGATGCGGAGGACGCTATCTCATGCTTAGGATGGGATTCTGAGGGCCGGCGTCTGGTGTACGGCTTGGAAAATAGAGTAAGTGACTTGGAGACATTGCGAACTGTCCGCTCACTGCGCTAACATTTGCCAGCTTGCCGTCATCCGCCTTCGGGAGCATGAGGGATGACAGGGAAGATGTCAATGAAGCCGAAGCAGTTCCACAGGATATCGCGCCGAGTTGTCAGCGTGGAGATGAACGCAGCGCGATTCGGAAGAGGGCCTTATCCATACTGATATATCTCAGCTGGTGTTCGAGCCTCGCCAAGTCCCCGCCAAAGAGGGCCGGACAACACGCAAACCCGAGCGAATGAGACACGAGGCAATTCCGGCGTTCAGGCAGCGGATGCATCCGCTTCTTGGACCTTCTCGGAGACCACTTGGAAATGGTCATGGCGTCCAGGTTGAGAGTTTCTTCCACTCTACGTGGTTCGACAATGATAACCCGGTCCGTGCGAAATCAAGCACCTCAACCTTAGCAACTTCACGGGACGGACTCATCGGAATGACTGGGAGCGAGTCTCTGCGCGGGATATGGTCAGATCCGGTCACGATCACTAATGCATCAGCTTAGCGGCGCTCACCTCCCGACACAACCCCCCGCTTGGTCATTACCAATATGTGCTGCAGAACCTGAGACCTTGCCACAGTGTTGAGCGGCATTCGGGAGAGATCACGGCGAAGGGGACGATTCATGTCTCATCCAACATATCCATTGGACATGGTGTGCCGTATCAGCCGCACAAAAGGCATGTCTAGAAGAAACTTGCAGGAGATGGCGACACAGAACATTCGTCCCTGTCCAATTAGAGGTTATGTGGGCGCGGAGGAACATGGCACCATAGCCGCTTGGTGATATACATATTATATAGCGCAGCAGCAGTTCTTTTTTGCCTGGAGTTATGGGCACACCGTAGGTTGAAAAGTCGAGCGTCCGATTCAATTGTTTGTAGCAATTCTGGGCGGGCTGCCACTGTTCCACCATGATATCAAGCGGGAAGAAGGGAGCTAGAGGATGTATAACAGCTAGTGACCCAAGCGGCCTTGTTTGTCTCAAATTCAATCGTTGTTTAGCTTTCATAGAACAGCTGTTACTGTCTGATGCCCAGGTCATCCTTTTTTTTTCTCTTTTTCTCCTTTTTTGCTTTTTTTCCTGGTACTCTGATGGAGTTATACCCATTGCTCGTCTGCCCGATTCCTGGACGGCAATTTCAAGGGAATAATCCTCCAGGCAGGCTCTCAGAAAGACTGGGTACGTGTTAGGCACGGGAGTTGTGCGAGAGTCACCTTTCAAATCCGTAAACTCGACTTCCCCATCGACCTTATCAATATAGCTGATAATCAAGTTGTAATGGATTGTGTAGACCAATGAGTTGTTGTTGCCTAAGCCTGCATAAAATCTTCCAAATTCTATGAGTAAATGCTTGGTATCAAAAACTGTTGCCACGCATGTCTTTTCCCAACCTCAACGCCGTTGCTCAAAACAGATGACCTCCGATGCAAGCATATCCAAGGCACACAACTCCCCTCTCTCCTATTATCTACATGCGTCTTCTCCATCTTCTTGCCCATTCACACCCTTCTCACTCAAACAGCACTCCTCGCATCCCTATCCAACCTCGCCCTGCTCGCGTTGCCCGAGCTCTCTAGGATTTCCTTCTCGTCCGAAGCATTCCCCTCCTCCGAAGCAGCGGCGGGAGCTCCACGGGGAGGGAAGGTCGGGGCAAAGGCGCTCTTCTCCCTGATCTTGTGGCCGTACAGGTAGAAGACGATGGGGATGGGCACCAGCGCGGCGGCGACGCATCCCAGAAGCGTCGACGCCCACTCGATGCCCATGCCCTGGAACATGTACTTGGAGAAGAGCGGGAAGCCGGCGCCGGCCAGGGACCGCAGGAAGGTATTGCCGGCGATCGCCGACGCGGCGAACATGAGGTAGGCGTCGACCAGGTAGTTGAGCGCCTGCAGAAAGATGGACGCCAGGCCAAACCCCGTGAGCAGGCCCGACAGCGTCGGCACGATCCAGTGGATGTCAGCGCGGTAGCCGGACCATCCAAACCAAAACAGGCCCGCCGCGAAGGCCACGCCGCCTGCGATGACGCTCGGCAGCCGCCACTCGGGGACGGGCACGCCGTTGTTGGCGGCCAGCTTGCGCTGGTACCACGGCTGCTGCAGCAGGACGGTGACGCCGGCGATGAGCTGGCCCGCGATCATGCCGAAGAAGGTCAGGCCCGCGACGCCGGCCGACATGCGGTGCACGCCCTGGAAGACAAAGGGGTAGGCCGTCAGGAACAGGTACAGCAGGCCGTAGATGAAGGCCATGTAGAGGGACAGGAGCAGGACGATGGGCTCGGTAAAGAGCAGGCGCATGGGGCGCGAGAAGTTCTTGGTGATGAGCTCGCGCACGTCAATCTCAATCTCCTCTTGCTTCGCGTGGATACCCCAGTTGAGGGTGCGGCGGCGCAGCTCGGCGGCCTTGCCGACGAGGATGGTGGGCGGGTACGTCTCCTCCAGGAAGAACAAGTTGAGAAAGAAGGCGAGGAAGCCCATGAAGGAGACAATGTACGAGGTCCAGCGCCAGCCGAGATACGACTCGACAATGAAGCCGCCGATGAAGGGCGCCAGCAGCGGGCCGGTGAAGACGGTCATGGAGAAGACGGTGATGGCGATGCCGCGGGTCCGGTTGTCAAACATGTCGGAGAAGACGGCGGCGACGACGGCAAGGGGGCAGGCGCCGAAGAAGCCGGCGAAGAAGCGCGTGATGAGCACCGTCTGAAGGTCCTTGCCAACGGCGTTGGCGATGTTGAAGATGGCGAAGCCGAACATGGACGTGACGAGGGGTAGACGGCGGCCCTTGAGCTCGGAGAGGGGCGCCCAGAAGGTCGGGCCCGTCGCGAAGCCAAGGACGTAGAAAGAGACGCCGAGCAGGGAGACCTCGGAGGAGACACCGAATTCGACGCCGACTGCGGCCGTTGCCGCTGAGAAGATGCTCGACCCGAAGGCCGCTGTCATGGTAGTGAAGCCGAGCATAGCAGCGGTAAGCAACCTGGAGAGGGTAGTTGTGTTAGCCTCGAGTGACCACGACGACAATCAGGGGGTAGTGAGCAAGCATACTTCTTCCTGATCGGCCAGTTCTGCGCATGGAGAGGGTCATCGGGCCCATCAAACTCGACAACGTAGTCCTCCTGGTTTGGTAGTAGCGGCGGGTATGGCTTGCCGGCGCCAAAGTTGGGCAGCGGCTTCTTCCACTCCTTGCTCTTGGCCCTCCCAACGGTCCCGCTGTGTTGACTCCGGGCCGTGTGGATGCGGCTCAACTCCGTCTGATGGCGCTCCAGGTCCCGTTGTGTCTCGACTCGGCTCATCTGAACCCCGCGGTGTGATGACTCGGCGGATGAGCTCGACACGGACGACGCTGAGATTACTCGCTCAATCTCTTCGCTACGGCGCTCCCGGGAGGCATCCCGCTCGGCCTCCTCAACAGCGCGGTCGATGGGGTTCTCAATCATTGTGACGTTCCTTCCGGATAAGGCCCGGTATCCCGCGGCGGTCTGATGGTCCTTTGAAGTATCCAGCGATGGTTTGTAGTCCTATGAGGTATCAGGTTGGTGGAGAGCGTTTCAACAGCACAGCATGCCAAAGGAGAGGAAAGAAGACAGCAATAAAACCCGAGTTCTACGGTGTAGGTAGAAGCGAGCGGATATTGGTCAATAAGTCTCAAGGTTCGTCTTGTGTGCGTCTATGATGAAAAGCAGGAATATAATGAATGGATGATGAAATTCGCCTCCCATTCGTGGGCCTGCCCTCCTAATAAAGCATCTGGATCGACACATCCCGGATATATTTTCGCTTTTACGTCTTGTCTGCGGCTCAAGATCTGTTAGTTCCAAGGGAACAGAAAAACTGGAGCCCACAGGCACTGCCGGGTCGTTCCAAAAACGGTCCTAAGATTGTGTTTTCTCCGGCCCATGATGCGGTCTCGGCATTCGCGCTTTCAAGGTCGGGCGGGCCGGGCAAAGAATTACCAATCGGCTTGCGGCATGCAGCAACGCTTTCCCTTCCTCGCCTCAGCTGCCCGTCATGCGGGACCCGGCGTCTCTTCCTGCAGGTGCAAAAGTTTCAGGCGCAGATAAGCGGCTGGCAACGGAGCCCATGGGACGCCGTTATTTCTGAAGTCCATCCTCTTTCGCTTCGTAGAGTAAATTCTGTTCAGAGATCCAGCCTAGCGGCGTTCAACTTGAAGTTCCATTATCAGTGGCTCCATCGGGACTGCGACGTTGAAAAACCCGATGTGGAGCACAACCTGAGATCAGGAGATGGACATTCCACAAGCATTGTGGATTCGTGAGTGTGGATGGTCATTCGGTACGGAGTTCGCATGTAACATTGCTCATGGCGGACGCTGCAATTGCCCAGTATAAGCGCAATGCAGCTGAGTCAGCCGGCGCGCGCTATATTAGGTTGGACTTCCGGGTTGCAAGCTGGAGCTCGGTTCTACACGCAGTTTATGCAAAAGCGATGATGAGTGATGACCGACTTAAGTCCGGCGATCTTTGACGTGCTTTGACGTAATCCCGCAACGCAGCCACCTCGTGGATGGCTTGCATTGACCAATGAAGTCAGACAGGATCCGCCTCAGGAGCCACTCCCCACGAGCCTCGGCGCCACAGGGGTTTCTCAGACGTGAAGTGAACAGCAGAGTGGATCTTTTCTAGCCGCCATGGGAAATTTTTCTTCCTTCTAATCTTCCTTTGCTGCCCGACAAGCCGCCAAGACGGCCCCGTACACAGCCCGAGAATCAAATTCTCCTCCTTCGTCTTGACTTGCCGCGGATTGCCGTTGATATTCGAGAATAGCCTCTCCTTGGCTTCCGTGTTTCTCCTTTTTTTCATTCTTTTCCTTCCCCTGGACGACTCGGCGGTTTCCATGGCTTGACGTTCAGTTTCCACAGCACAAGCATGCCTCGGCACCAGCGGCCGCTGGCGGAAAGAAAAGCTTAACTCTACTCCACCACGTGCATCACGAAAGTCCTAGACCCACCGAGGTGCAAGTCGTGTTCTACTGCACGCCCCAGTTCTCGTGTTCTAGCAGGCCCGCCGCTTCTTCGAGACTCAGCCCTGCCGTCTCAGGATAGAACTTCCATATTAACCCGTATCCGGTCGTACATATTGCCGCGTAAAGCACAAATGTCCATGATGGAGTGAGCGCATCCATGAGGAGCAGGAATGTCAGCCCTATGACAAAGTTTGCGCCCCAGTTGGTTGACGTCGAGATTCCGCTCCCCAGCGACCGCACGTTGAGCGCAAACAGCTCGCTCTGCATCCACGGCACATTGCCAAGACCCAGAGCGTAGCCCGCGACGTACACCATGATGCTGACCAGGATTATGATCGCTGCGCCCTGAGCAGGCGAAGTGCTGGCTCGCGTCGATTGGTTGAAGACAGCCTGATGAAGGAAAATCCGTATGCTGCGAGCAGGAGTCCTGCAATCATGAACGGGATTGACCATAGCAGAATGCGCCTCCTTCCGATGCGATCGATCAGGAAGAGCGCGGCAAGAGTGACGAGGAAGTTGGTGACAGCGACGACCAGCGATGTGAGAGTGGGGATTGGGAAGCCGAGCATCGTGAAGATGGTAGCCGAGAAATACATCAGTGAATTCTGTGTAGGGAGCCGTCAGCATTTGGACGCAAATAGGGTGTTCCGTAGCACTTACAAATCCGCAGAGCTGCTGAAGCCCCTGAAGTAAACAAGCAATCGCCAACGCCCTCCGGTTCCGCCTGACCCCAAACAGTTCATTGACTGACCCTATCCATCCATCTCTCCCATCCCCGCTTACCCTCCGTAATCTCCTCGCCTCTGACTCCTCTCGGACCTCAATCTCAATCCCCTTGACCGTCGCATCCACCTCCCCTCTCCCCTCCTCCTTCCGCGCAAGCACTCTTTCCACAACCCTCCTGGCCTCGCCCACTCTTCCCACCATCACCAAGAACCTCGGGGTCTCCGGCATAGCCAGCACCACCAACCCTTGCACAACAGCGGGCAAAGCTCCCAGACCAACCATCCACCTCCACGCCATCCCATCCTCACCAAACTGGCCCAGCGCCCAACCAACAATATACGCCACCACTTGGCCCAAGGTGATGAAAACAACGTTCATCGTCACCAACCGGCCCCTAAACCGCGCAGGCGCCAGCTCGGAGATATACAGCGGCACGACAAAGCTCGCGGCGCCCACCGCCAAGCCGACGACCGACCGGCCCAGCACCATGGCCCCGATGGTGCCGCTGCATGCTTGCACGGCCGCGCCGAGGGCGAACAGGACGTCTGCGGCGAGTATGACGCGCTTGCGGCCGAGTGTGTCGGCTAGGACGGACGAGAAGGGCGAGACGAGCAGGGCGAGGAACGAGGTGGAGGAGGTGATAACGGACTTTTCGAGCGAGGTCAGCGGGTGCGGGTTGTCGGGCGGGGAGAGGGAGGTGCCGAGGGATACGAGCGTTGACGAGATCACGCCTGTGTCGTCTGCGGTGGGTATGGATGTCAGTAGGTGGTAAAGGGCTGCGGGGCATGGGAGAGGCAGGCGTTGGGACGTACAGCCAAAGAGAAGGCCGGAGATGCCTGCGCTGAAGGTGAGGAGGTAGATGAAGAGTGATGGAGAGGAGCTGGTGGTGAAATATTCGTAGGCGCCGGCGGCGTCATGGCTGTCGTTGTGGCGGGCGGGATCTCCCGCAGGAGAGGGACGTCGAGAGATGAGCGGTTCCTCCACGCTGTCCATCGTCGCGTCATCCCTGGCCACGGCGTCGTTGCTAACTTGGTGCTATGTTGAATGCAACATTGCCCGTGCTATCCGGATGTGGAGCAGTTGCCGCTGCGTCCCGGGGTGTGGTTTCCCCAATCTGTACGGATTAAAGTACGAAACGGAATTCGGCCAACTCGGCAGAAGCAATGTCGGAGGCCCGCGCCTGCCGCTGCCCGATCTCATGTCCGCCCCACTTTGCGCTGCCAAGAGATCTGCCCCAGGGTCCCAGCCACTTTCTGGATTTGAACGTCGCCCTGGCGGTGGTGCTTGGACCAGGGGCGTTTCAAACCAGTGTTTCGGTTGCACATGCAACAGAAGAGCACCTCATCTGGCACAGGAGCTTCTCGACGGCTGTCGCACTTCACTGTTCTGCCCGTCTTTCTGTTCTGCCATGCATTATACTCCTTCGAGCTGTTGTGTTAATTATCTGTTCAGTTGACCGCTAATTTATCTGTATAATCTCGTAATCTGGCGACATCTCAGGTTACATTCCCGACGCCATTCGCAGCGCCTGCTTTGGACTCGACGTAGCTTCACGATGCCCTCGCCATATTCCACCCTGCCCGAGCGCGACTCTTGGTTTGCGCCTCTCTCGATTGATCTCATCGTCAAGGTGTTCAAGACGACCTTCTTCCATCCGTTCGTGGCATGGATCATCCCGCTCTGCTTCCGCGCCCAGAACATGTTCTGGGACGCGCCACCCATGCTGGTCTCGATCGCGTGGGCCTCGTTTATCTCGCTGAGTTGGATTGCCGGGGCGATCAACGACCGGCTAGCCTTTGGCCTGCCGCGCGAAGTGGACCTTAGCGAGGAGGTCATTGTCATCACGGGCGGCGCCAGCGGGCTGGGCCTGCTGATTGCCGAGGTGTACGGTATGCGCGGGGCTACCGTCGCCGTGCTGGACGTCGAGGAGATGGAGAACGGCGAGGCTCGGGGTGTTAAATACTACAAGTGCGACGTCACGGACAAGGAGCAGCTCGCGTGGGTGGCGGCCGAGATTGAAACAGACGTAATTCTTCCCTTTCACTGTCCTTCTCATATCACAGAGCTCGCTAACACGCTGGTCATTAGCTCGGCACCCCGACTGTTTTGATTAACAACGCAGCCATCGTCATCGGCAAGCCCCTTCTCTCGCTGACCTTTCCCGAGATCGAAAAGTCGATTTCAACCAATTTGCTCAGCCACTTCTACACCATCAAGACCTTCCTCCCGGCTATGACGCGCAGCGAGGTTGGCGGTACCATTGTTACCATATCCTCCGTAATCGGCACCGTCGGCGCCGCCCAGCTGACTGACTACGCGGCCGCCAAGGCGGGCATATCGGCCCTGCACCGCTCGCTTGCCGCCGAGCTACGCGAGTCGCACCCGCAGATCCGCACCGTCCTTGTCACCCCGGGCCAGCTGAGCACCCCGCTCTTCTACGGCGTGCAGACGCCTAACCGTTTCCTCGCCCCCGTCGTCGAGCCCGTCGACGTCGCCAAAGAGGTGATTGCCGCGATTGATACCGGCCGGAATGCGGCGATCGGCATGCCGCTTTATGCGCGGTGGATTGATTGGTATAATGTGCTTCCGCTGGGACTGCAAGCCGTGGCCAGGAGGTTGGCGGGTGTTGATAACGGGATGAAGACGTTTGTGGGGAGGCAGGGGGCTAAGAAAGAGCAAAAGGAAGGATTGATACAGGGGTTCTGAGATAAACTTCAGAAGGGGCTAGGCGCTGGCGCCGGGCAAAACGGTGGTCAAAGGAGTTATTTTTTTTGGGGTCGATGAGCTTCTATAAGAACTGATGATTGCTCATGTAACTTCACCAATGCAGATATGGGATCAACGAACTGGTGTGACTATAGTCCACGCAAGGAAGTCGACAGGCTATATAGAGGTTATGACTGATCGTTTGATGAGCAGCGTATTCCAACGAGCATTCCACGGCTGGAACACAATGTATATTGGATTGTCCTCCGAGACTACCTCAGCCTTGCTACGAGCCAAACCGGTGTTCCATGTTCCATGTCATAGATTTCATCATCCCAGTCGACTTAGGGCTATCTCGCACCACGCTCCTCGAACACTCCAGGCAGCTGCGTGGTACTTGAAACAAGAGACCATGCCAAGCCCGTCCAAGCCCGTCACAGTCACACCAACCACCGTGAACTCATCAACCATCATGTCTTTCCAAGAGCCCCGCGTTGAGCCTTCCCTGCTGGCAGGACTACCGACTGAAAGATCGCAACCCCCAGCATGCTTCGGTCCATTCGCATTGTAGCGCAACCGAACAATCAGCAACCGACAATGAATACCACATCTTGTTGCTATAGTTATTATTGATCTTCTTTGAATAGAACAGAAGCATGGGCCTCGAGATAAATAAAGTGAGGGATCTTTGTTCCATCTACCAGGATGACCGAGGAACGGGGCCCAACGGAAAGCAAGTGCCGACGACGGCTTTCGCTGCCATTCACGAACAGGAAAACGCCTACTTCGGCAAAAAGTCGGGTATCTCCATGTGTGATCTCACAGCGGACATTGTGCGGGAATGCCTGCGACCGTTGCCCGACGAGAAGATCTACCCCATCCTCTCCCCAAATGAGAATCTAACCGTGGCGCCGGACGATATCATGGGCTTTCCTACGTCAAGCAAACCGTGTGACCAACCTACCTTAACTTCCGAGACACCGGCTTTCTGCCCAGGTTGATGCTCAAAGAAGCCCGGACTATGGAGCTCCTCAGACAGCACCCCTATCCCAACATTGTCGCGGTATCACGGCTGCCGTGTGAAGCGCGGGCGCATCAGGGGGCTAGTTCTCGAGACCTTTGCCTTTCAGTACGATATTGGTCTCGTGAAGATCCGTCCCGACCTCTTTAAAGGTGTCATCGATAAGGAGTGGGTACTTTCTCTGGACTACAACCAGCGCTCGACCATCTGCATGCGCTCGGCTGGCACACAACGACATCAACCCAGCCAATATCATGTTCGGCGACGGCGGTGAGCCAAAGCTGATCGACTTTGGGTCGTGCGAGCCGTTTGGCGAGCGTCTCACGTCCGCGGGGGCTCCTGGGTGGTGTCGAAACCGATCTCAAGCTTTCGCCTCGGACAAGGCAAATGATGAGCACAGTCTTGGGCTGCTGGGGCCATGGCTGATACAGTCAAGGAGTTGGAGGACATTGTATCGACGACTGCGGACTGGCGGTTGACTTGAAGGACATACCACCATTGGAGGTTCCAATCAAAGGGGAGGAGGCTGTGGATGAGGTCAAACTGTAGGGCTTGACAGTCTTTGTGTTGTTGATTTGCCGTGGCTCTCGGTTGTGATAGAGCGTCCCTGTGATCATGTAACCTTTTGGAGCAGTCAGCCGCAGTCCAACCAACAACAGCTCCCATGTGTGGTTGCACTAGACATTTCCATCCAGATAGAGGCAATTATCAATTCTGCAAATAAAATGACGAGGCCTACAACCTTATCTGTAAGCCTCGACGTACTCAAACGAACCCTCCATATTCCATACCTGAAAGCGGCTATTTCGGCGAACTCTGTAAGTGCTGTGGGGTAGGTACAGTACTTGGGTTGTTTAGGTTGTCGAGGTTGTACGGAATATGTTTACCCCCACGCTCGCCATCTTCTGCACGCCGCAGTCAGCTTATCGGCTTAATCCAGGACAAATGGGATTCGGATCAACCGCAACCGCGGCCAGAGATAAGTTAAACATTGTACTGCGTGGCTGAAGAGAAAACAAGGCTTCACCAGATGGGACGAACTGATGCTCAATCTTGTGGGGCAGAGCAGACGAGCTGTTTTCTTATCTCTTGGGCCAGCCGTTGGCCAATCAGAGTTGCCGTTGTGACTTACAGAACGATCCCGAGGAGAACCCCATCTCGATATCAGTGAACCCGGCGGGCATAGGTATGACACCTCGCCTCTCAACATCATGCGTCCCCATGATGGTGGCCCTGATCCTTTCAGTTGGTGTTGTTCAGCTGGGTTTAAGTTGCGAAACCATTATGGCGAATCTGTTTCCTTGACCTGACCACCAAGCCAAAATTTAAGACAGCTTTACAGAGTGTCTGCAACGCCTTGTCAGAAGAAACCAACTAGGATGTAAATGAGCAACAGCTGGCTGTCCCGTCTCGGCCCATTTCCTCCTCTTCACAGTGCGGTGCACTTGCAGGTTCAATCATCATTCTTTTCAGCTTCTGGAATTACATACCGAAAGCCTTCTTCCCCTCCCACAACCACAAAGCGAACCCAAACCAACGCGAACCGCAGGCGCGATCACCCAACTTCCTGCTAAATAGCCTGCGGTCTCTACAATGTGGTGGGATGACGACACCATCGAGCGGACTGTGACGAAGGAATTTGTCTGCAGCCGACTCGTCCCTGAAGAGATCGGGCGTCTTGACCAGCCTCTCGAATTCGGCGGCAGCTTGACCGATTGCACTTACTGGGAGTGGATTGACGAGAAGGCGAAAAGGCTTTTCCTTATCGTTGCCGACTTGGGCCTACCTGACCAGATCTTTGGACTCATCGACGACTCGTTGGACGATGACGATCTCCCCATCGCCCTCGACCAAGTCGAGCGTTTGGAGTTGACATCTTCCAAGGATGAGAAGACCGAGAAAAAGTTCTATCACCGCCAGTTTCACTACCTCTTGCGGCCCCTGCAGAAAGGCGGCCATACTGACTACGACGACGACGAGGTGGTTCCGCTGGATGCGGTCGACAAGAAGCATGCTTTGGGCCAGCACCTCGACAAGGTCATGGTCCCTAACGAACCTGGAACCGTATTGTGTCGCTGCCGGATTCCGCTTGGTCCGGGCCGTCTCAGCTGGGGAGAGTTCATCTCAGAGGTCGACAGCATCAAGGACGTGCAGAATCAGCATCTTCTGTCATACTCGACATCCTACACACATCAAGGGTACGGCTACATCCTGTTCACACCGGCTCCTGAGTACACTCTCAAATCGCTCCTGGCCACCACGCCTAGCTGTTTGAAGAATGTGGACAAGAAGGCACGTCCGCACCTCGTCATGAACTGGATTTACTGCCTGGTTGACACGGTTTGCTTTCTCCACAACCGGGGCCTCTCGCATGGGAACATCAGGCCGTCGACTGTGATGTTCTCCTGCGATAACCTCGTCTTCTTCTCCAGCTTCACTCGGTTCCACACCAGTATTCTAGGCGGCGCGACAGATTACACCTCGTTTGACAAAGAGGCATACGATCACGCGGCCCCGGAGAAGTTGTTCAAACCGGCCTCTACGTCTCCCACATCGAACCAGAGGTCAGCAGAGGTCAGCAACAGCCCAACAGACAAGCACGCGTTGACACCCAGTCCGCAAGCCGCCGACATTTTCTCCTTGGGCTGCGTCATCCTCGAGCTCCTAAGCTTTCTCTTCAAGAAGCATGGGAAACCATTCGCCGCGCATCGGGCAGCGAAACACAAGTCTGCCGGCCGTGGCGGCGCGGTTCCAGACTCGTCTTTCCACAAGAACCTGGGACAGGTCGAAAGCTGGATGACGCAGCTTACCAAAGATGCGACCAAGAGGAAGGACGAGCCGGTGCTCAGGGGCGTTGCCCCGATGCTCGCTGTCGTCGAGCACATGCTGGCCTTCTATCCCTCGGAGCGTCCGAGTGCGAACGAGGTGCGGGCAAGGATATATCAGATCCTTGCCGAGTCGTGTAGCATTGCGGAGCCTCATTGCCCACCCTTGGACAGTGGGCTGGACTTTACAATTGGAAGCCTCACCCTGAGCTCGTCTGCACTTGCGAGCGGCGGAAGCACTGACAGCATCTCGGGCCCAATGAAGCCGAAGGGTGGATTGGGAAACCGAGAGAGCAGGCGGACGGGCAGCCGAGGAAGCGGCGGGGGTAGCAACGGTGGAAGCAGCGGCAGCCTCAGGAGACTCACCGGTTCGACTGAAGAGGCACAGATGGATCGGGCCGTTGCGAGGCTTAAGAATGGCTCCCATGATAGCCAAACGACTGCACAGCAGTTTTTCGCGGAGAACAGGGCGAATAAATGGCAGACGTCGCTATATCAGAGTCAATACGGCTCTGCGCTTCGTGCGCTTTGACAGATGGCCGGCGGCATCTTGAGAGGGCCCGGTAGGGCATTGGGTGAGCATTTGATGGGCGATAAATGATGGGTAGCTTTCCGAGGGCTAGTAACCATTCAACCCCTCTCTAGCCATGTCCAGTACGCGATCGTGTGTTCTGATGCCGGCGATCGTGCCGAGACATTGATGTTGAGCTTGTCGTTATCCTTGGGTTAGGGTTGACCAGATCCCGTCCTGAAACGAACAGCAGCTTGCAGGCAACGTCAGCATGGTCTGGATTTCGATTCGGGCCGGTGGGCAATCGCGAACGCCGTTCCAAATGAACCTTCCATCTTAGCTGGTCGCTTTGTGTTCGTATGATACTTTTGCATAGTATCGTGGTAGGTATTCAAATTGTACAAACAGACCACCCGGAGAAACCTGCCGAAACAATCTTGGGCAAAACCCCACCATATGGCCCAGCGATCTGCCAACTGATTGCGCGATTCTCAGTACCTGCAAAAGCTCCATTGGATGTCGCACAACTCCACCTGCACGAACCAAGGCGGGTGCAGGTCCCAGCCTCCCATGCGCCTTGGCTTGGCCTGCATTCTAGGTTCCCTGGCCGCAGGTAGGGTTGCATCGGGGTCATCTCCCGGCCAAGATAGGAATGCGTCACAGAATCAAGGAAAGCTTATGGAGAAACCCGACTTGAAAAAACTGAATGTCAGTTTCAGCCATGAGGTTCTTTGCTGTTCTTTTGTTTTCATCCCTCCGTCTTGTCATGTTCAACCGTGGGACTCTCTTCCCCACTTTCTTTCATTTGGGATAACTGGAACCGCATCAAGTGAGACCGAACCTGGTTGCTCTGAGAGCGGGCCTTGCTTCCATTTTGGGAGGTCCTGGGACATTCACAAATTCGGGTAGCGTCATTTTCCATGGACCGGCAGTCACTCGCTTGGTCGCAGCCGGAAGAACCCATCAAAGACTACTAGCACCTCACTAGTGCTGCATCTAAATCTTTTGAACACCACGCACCTCCCCCGTCGCTCGTTATCCTCGAATCTCGTCCCGACACTCCCGGTGCAGGAAAGCCCTGCATGCGAAGGAACCGACCGATTAACACCAACCCAGGCTGTGTCACAGTCTCGGAGTCGGCCTCGATCCAGGCCTTGACCTATTTTTGAGCCTCTGTTGAACAACGCCGCTCCGCTAAGTGCGCCGCATTACGGCACAAGCGACATCTTCATTACGGCACAAGCGACATCTTCATTACGGCACAAGCGACATCTTTATCACGGCACAAGCGACATCTTTATTGGCAGCTTCGAACGAGGCCTTTTTGGACTGCTGTTGGGTGAAAAGGATAGAGGTTGCATATTGTTCTGATGAATGGATTAGCATCTCTTAACTTTTTTGACTCGAGAATTGGCTCTTTTCTTCCTCATTTCGATCAATCTCTTGGCGGCCGTTGAAGGATCACGATAATAAGCAATGAAGCTTCCTTGGCTTCTGCCGGCACTGCTTGGTAGCGGAGCCGCAGCAGGCCTCGACAAGGTTGGGATTGCCGTTGGCGACAAGGTCTGGACTGTTGAGAGCAGAGTTTATCTGGGGAAGGGTATGTGAAACATCGCGCATCAAGTTCATTCAGGGACGATCAGGAGCTTTTAGAGGAGCATCACGCCAACAAGTATGCAGGCATCACATACCAAGAACAAGACAGCGAGGATGGCGCCTCAATACAGTCTGCCAGCGCCAACAGCATTCCAGCCGCTCTAGACACACTTAATATGGATTTACCCGTGAGTTCACACGTCACCCCGGACACATGGCATCGACTGACCGCGAGCCCAGAACAAAACCAAACCTGGACTAAATTATCCTGACACTGGAGATGCCGCGCCGATCATCACGCTCAAATCAGCAAGCAACAACGCTGCTCAAAGCCCAGAGGATGGCCCCTCAAGTCAGCAGGCAGGCCCATCTTCAGGTCTGAGCCATGACCCGTCAGGCCTGGATGAGTCTTCGACACGCCCCTCCAGGAGGGCCGAGACGAAGAATCCGGCCTCGGCCAACCGTGCGATAGCAGGCATGGGCGTGGGCTTGGTTTCGGTCATGCTCATCTTCACCGTCTTTTTGTGAAATGCCTCTTCCCTTCCATTCGGTCCCGGGCGGTACCTGCGCAGCGAGCTTTTTTAGTTTTTTTTATTATTTTTTTTTCCCCGGGTTTGCATAACAGGGGTTGTCATGATACCCATGTTGGAAAACGACTGTTTGCTTGAACGATAGATCCACGAAGGATGAGCCATGGTTGGAGGCCGTGTCTCCGAGCGGTCCGATGGCGATGACGACTGGTAATGTCGGTGGGTTTGAAACTGGCCGCGGATGAGTAATGGAATGTATGGATGGCTGCATGCTTGGCCAGACGAGTAGTTTCATATACTTAATTGTTAATTACTGATCAGACCTCCACGGTAGGAGGCAGGCCTGTATATACATCATTGCGCCGAAGGGGTGGTCGGAGTCGGAAGAGTTGTGTATCCTTGGGACGTAAACATCTTGAAGTATGGGATGCGAGACAAATAGTAGATGTAACTTGAAGTTTGTGGTCTGGTATAAACCAATCAAGATCACATCCCAGGTCCCTCTCCAGCATACCTAGCTCTTCTGACCGAGGCGGGGGTTAAGCGGGCTGTCAATGATTTTCCACACGACAGAGTCCGATGCTATCTAGTACATGTCAAACGTTCGACTCCAAAGACCGACACCTTCAGCCGACAAGACTCCAGCATTTCTTCAACGATGCTGGTTTTGATGATCACGACAAGAATCACAATCATCACAGGCTCATCTTTTGATTCGGATGACAGCGCGTGAGACACACAGAAAATCACAAGCCTCGATCCACCGCGTGTTCATGTTTTACACAATGCCAGACAGATGGTATCAGAATCAGCATCGAATCGCAGGCAGCACCCACGACACCATAACAAACTCCCATAACGCCGCCCAATGCAGATAATCCCGCCCCCCAAAATACACAATACCCCTCATATCCCTCATACACAGCCTTTGTATGCCTATTGCTGCTTGACCAAGATGGCCTTCTCCCGCTCGCCCTTGCGCTTTTGGAACTTCTTGTCCGAATGCTTCCGCTCGTTCTCCTCGCGCCTCTTGATGGCCGCCAGCTCCTCGCGCTTGATCTCGCTGGCCTTCTTGACCACCTTGGGCAGATGCCGGTGGCGGCGGATCCGCTTGATCTCGGGCATGTGCGAGTAGCGGTCTAGCAAGGCATTGTTATACTCAAGAGCCTGCCGTTGCTTGGTCGACTTGACGCCGCTCCGCTCCGATGCGTTGGCGCGCCACAGCCGGAGGTTGCCCTACAGATGGAAGAGGTCAGTGGGTTGAAGGTGGGAGTGCAGGAGGAGATAGGGGACGCACGTCGTCGCTTCCGCTGAGCAAATACTTGGAGTCCATGGTCCACATGGTCCGAAAGACGCGCTGCATCCGCTTTGTGTGGTAGATGTCGCGGGACGTGCCCCGGTCACGTCGCCAGACTCTGATGGTGCGGTCCTACCAACTTTATCAATGCCAGCTTCATCTGGGAACTTGCATTGTACACTTACATAAGAACCGCTGACCAGCTCTTCGCCAGTGGGGGAGAACTCAACATCCATTACGGCAGCCACGTGACCCTTTTGGATGTTCTGCGCCCGGTCAAAATTCCTGGCATCGAAAATGTAAATGTTGTGGTCTAGGGTCAGTGAGTATCATCGCTCCCTACGTACATGGGTGGAATACGCACCTTCCGATGCAACAGCCAGGTTCATGGCTTCCATTGGGTTGAATACGATGCGGTTGGCCGCAAACTGAAGAACCGTCTTGATGACGGGCACTGCATTCAGGGGTCAGTTTCGTTCTTCAACCCTGATGAGGGGGTGAACTCACTGTTTGTCCGCAAATCGAAGAGGATGACAGATCGATCGGTGGCTACAGACCCAACAACAGACGTCTCAACCTGGTTAAAGCACACGTCGGTGATAGTATCAGTAAAGTTGGGCCATTGTATTGTCTGAGCGGCTGTGCTCTGCTCCAGATCCCAGACGCGAATGCAGCCAGCGCCAGACGAAGCAGCAAAGACATTTCCGGTCCTGTGAACCGAGAGGGATGTGTATGGTCCGCCTTCTTGCCATGTGGCGATGGGCGATGTGCCGCTAGGTGTGTTGTACGGGTCCCAGAGCTTGATACCGTCCGTGGCGCAGGACAGGAGCTTCTTGTCGTTGGTGAAGGTCAGCCCCTTGACGATATTTGAGCTGTGTGGCAGGGTTAGTGCCTGTATGTGCATCATAATCTGGCGTTGCTTACTGTGCGGCCGTACGCCATGTCTCCTCGTCGCGTTTTGTGAGGTCCCAGACCTTAACCACGCCGTCGCCGGATCCGGAGGCGACCGAGTTCAGGGAGTTCTTGTCCTACAGGGACGTCAGCATCGGTCCCTTTCCGCCTCAAACGTCTCAACAGAACCAACCTTGCACATGCTGTACACGCCCTGAACATGGCCACTCCCCAGCTGTCCCAGGAACGGCTTGGCAAACATGCGTTCCCTGCCCGAGTCAGAAACCCACCAACTCCTAGAATGGCCTCAGTGTGCTCACAGTTTGACTGCATTGAGAGCTCTCTGACTGCGTCCAGATGTCAGAACCGGCGCCTAAACATGCCTAAGCTGTCTACGTACTACTCTCGAGCTCGTTCGAAGGGATGAATTTCTGGGGCGAGATTGCGAGGCGCACGCTGGACATCGGAGCCAGGCGCTTGTTGGGCCGTGATGCTTCGGCTGAGCGCTTTGATCTGCACGACAAGGAATCAGCAGCCATAGGCAAAAAACAATTCCAACCTGAGGGCCCAGTGATATAGTCGGCGGCAGACAGAGGGTTTGCGTTGTGTGCATTCCCATATCATACCTTCATGATGCCACTTGACTGATAGCCGAAATGTCTCAAAACTCAGAAGATATGACTCTCGAGCTTTGGGTTAGTTTGCTGAAGTGGTGGCGCGGTAAGATGTTCGGTTGGTAATGTCGATACAAGAAGGTCCTCTTCTTTAAGCCTGCCCCGATTCAGACGGCGAATCTCCAGATTTTGGCGGGGTGTGGCGGCAGAAACGCTGACCGCCCGTAGAGTCCCAGCCACAATCGAGCGGTAGCCACAGCGGACGGAGACGCCAAGAGGAACGTTAGCTGCCGCCAGGGAGCTCATTACGTCGCGCTGCGGTAACCTGGGCTGAGCTGCAAGGCGAGCGGGTGCTAGATTTGGAGCTCGCACTCAAACACCACATAACCGCCAACACCGCATCACGAACCATCGGACTCTGTCGGCCACGGTTCCCTACCGCCACCCCTCATTTTATACGAAGTGAAATAAACACGGCAAGCACCGAGTACCCCAACAGTAACGTCTCGTCACAATGGTGCAGGCCGACTCGGAGAGGGTGCGCGAGGCGCAGAAGCTGGCCAAATCGGACCCGCAGAAAGCAGAGGAAGTCTACAAGGAGATCATCTCGAAGCCGCCATCCGTGACATCCGATGCCGCCATCAGGGAATATGAGGCTGCACTGATCAGCTTGGGGGAGCTCTACCGCGACCAGAAGTAAGCAGGACCTGGCTTTCTACAATCAGCTGGGGGGAGACATGCCTCTGACACGTCGCAGGAACACAGACCAGCTCGCCGCCTTGGTAACTAAGAGCAGGACAGTCTTGTCCTCGTTCGCAAAGGCAAAAACAGCCAAGCTGAGTTCGTCATGCCTTCTTATCCCGAGGCCTGACCCCGCTTACTGACGTGCCTTGCCAGTCCGTCAGCTGCTCGACCTCTTCGAAGCCATTCCGCACTCTCTCGACATCCAGATAGCAGTCACCAAATCCTGCATAGAATGGGCTACCTCAGAGCGCCGGAGTTTCCTCCGACAAAACTTGGAGACGCGTCTTGTGACCCTCTACATGGCAAAGCAGTCCTACTACGACGCGCTGACCTTGATCAACGGCCTGCTGCGCGAGCTCAAGCGCATGGATGACAAGCTGGTGCTGGTTGAGGTGCAGCTGCTCGAGTCGCGCGTCTATCACGCCCTCGGCAACATCGCCAAAGCCCGCGCCGCCCTCACCAGCGCTCGCACCTCGGCCGCTTCCGTCTACACCCCGCCGCTCCTGCAAGCCAACCTTGACATGCAGTCGGGCATGCTGCACGCCGAGGACAAGGACTTCCAGACGGCCTACAGTTACTTCATCGAGGCGCTAGACGGCTACCACACGCAGGACGAGCCGGCGCGCGCCCAGGCCGCCCTGCAATACATGCTGCTGTGCAAGATCATGCTGAACCTGGCCGACGACGTCAACCAGCTGATGGCGTCCAAGCAGGCCCTCAAGTACGCCGGCCAGTCGCTCGAGGCCATGAAGGCGATTGCGCGGGCGCACTCGAACCGCTCGCTCGAGGAGTACGAGCGGGCGCTGGCCGCCTATAAGTACGAGCTCGGCAGCGACGCCTTCATCCGCAACCACCTGCGTCGCCTGTACGACGCCATGCTGGAGCAGAACCTGATCAAAGTGATCGAGCCCTTCAGCCGCGTCGAAATCGACCACATCGCCAAGATGGTCGGGCTCGACACGCAGCAAGTCGAGCGCAAACTGTCGCAGATGATCCTCGACAAGGTCATCGTCGGCGTGCTCGACCAGGGCGCCGGCTGCCTCATCATCTATGACGAGACGCATCGGGACGAGGCCTATGACTCGGCACTGGCGACCATCGAGAAGCTGAGCAACGTGGTGGATGTGCTTTATACCAACCAGGCGTCGCTGTTGGAGTAAGCGAGCATTGGGTCTACTGGGTGTGTAATACTACGGTTTGCGCGGTGCTTAGAAAGGCTGCCCGAAATGGAAACGTACATCACCTCGCTGGTATCAAGCCTATAATCTGTCTCTGAATCTTGTGTCCAACCCGCCGTTCCCTTCCTCCCGACACCCCAACGCCGCAACATGATAGTTCGAACTCGTATGCCTACAAGGCTCGTCATCATCCATCATCTTCCTTGTACATGATATACCCAACAATCATCCTTACAAGCCAGCGTACCATGTACTTCCCACTACTCGCACCCCCTCCTCGACAGACAAGTCCCTCCCCTTCTCCATATCCCAACATTCAATTCACATCCCTCACTTGCATGTACCGCCCCTACCCTCTAACTCCTTCTTCCCTTGCTTTCCCACTCTCCTACCATCTAGCAGGCACCATTCCCACCCGCCTCCTCTCCTCCCCAACCAGCAATGCAAACACCCTCTTCGCAATCTGTGTCCCATCCCACAACATCTGCCCTGCATTACCACCATCGCCACCACCACCAGTAGTAGCACCGACTTCAGCCAAGAACGCCTCAACAACATCCAAATGCCACTCCTCAAGCGCCATGCTCTCCCCCTGCGACGTGACAATCTTGCCTAGCAATTGCCGGCAACTTCTTCTTCTTCTTCTTGTTGTTGTTGTTGTTGTTCCTGCACCGGGGGTAGCGAAGGGAAGAGGACGGCGGCGGGCGACCTCGAGCTGGAACTGGAGAATCCCGCTTCTTCGGGCTTGGAGGAGCTCGTCTAGTCTTAGCCAGTGGGCGCGCGTCCAGGTTGTCGGGGATAGTTGCTGCTGCTGCTGCTGCTGCTGCTGGTTTTGCTGCTGTGGTTCTGGTGGGATGCTGGCGGTGGTGGATGAGGTAAGACGGTGCGAGCTCAGACGTTGGGGTTGAGGCTGTTGTTGTTGCTCGTGAGAGGGCGAGGGCGACGGTGATGGTGAGTGTTCGGAAGAAGCGGCGTGGTAATTTTTGTCTACTGACATGCCGTTGTTGGTGACCTGTCCGCGCCCAGGATGTGGGCGGTGCTCGTCTTGCCTTTCAGGGGACATACTGGCACGGCGTTCGGCGCGGGCTTGGGCCTGTGCCAGCGGGGAGAGGGTGCTGCTCGTGAACTCAACCATGCGGCCTGGTGTCTTAGGTTTCAGAGGCGAGCGGATGCAGGATTTCCCAGGGGAGGCTGCCCGGTCTGGTAAAGGCTTAAGCGGACGCTCCATCAAGGATGATCCTTCTGCCTCGTCTTGTTCCTCTCGTGGTCTAGCTCCTGGTCGTTGATGATGTGGACGGGACCGTGAGAAGAAATCTGACACTTCCCTGTTGCCAAAGAGCGCGCTCGTCGGAGCAACGGGCTTTGGCTGCAAGAGGGTGCTGTGAGACGGTCGCCGAAGAGGGGTGAAGTTCATCTTCTGAGGAATTGTCGGCGGCCTTATCTCGTCAGTTCCAGGAGAGGCGGTGCGTGGGGCAGACGCGGCTGCCGCTGCAGTTTTAGTATCACTGACTTGCCGCTGAGGAGGGAGGAAATGCATTTGCTGCGGGATATTCCCTGGCCTGGTCTCCTCTGCGGGTTGCGACGACAAGTTTGAACGCGCCGTGGAGCTGGCTGGTTGTTTAGGGCTGATTCGCTCGACGACTTTTCGCACAGGGGAAAATAAGTCGACACTCCTCCGGTGGCTTCCAATGTCAAGCTGCTTTTGTGGAATTGGCGGCAGTTGCGTCTGGGATTGCGGTTGGAGGTACTGGGCGAACAAGCTGTTTCCAAATGATGTCGGTCTCTCGACTGGCATGGCTCGTGTTTTCGGTACTCCACGTGCTCGCGAGCTGAGCTCCTTCGACGAAACTAAGCCGGTGAGTTGCTCCATATCAGGGAGCACAGCAGGTGACGAGAAGAACGCAGAAAGATCGGGCTTCTTGGTCGGAGGATTAGAAGGAGCTAGTCTTTGTCCCGGCGGATCCTGAGACAACAGGCTGTACTCTTCCTCCTCGTTTGTGGGTGCCTTTCTTCCAGGCCGGACTGTGACTTGTCTTACCCGAGCTTGCGCCTGCCTTCTTGGCTCTTCCTTCTCGGTCGCCGGGCTACCTCTCTGACTGTGAGAGTTTTGTTCCGAGTGTCGCTCGAGCTCATCATTGTAGATGAGACGCCGATTGTTTTGTCTCCATGGGCTTGGGATCTTGCTCCTTCGGGCGGATCCAGGTAGCGGCTCTAATCTAGCCGGCGCATTTCTGGGCGCGTAAGGGGTGGGGGCTCCAATGGCCATCCAAATGTCCTCATCTTCCTCTTCTTCTTCAGCCCCTCGCTCTTCCCCAAAAGGGTCTGCTTGCTGGACTTGATCCATATGTAGCCGAGCCTCAGGAGGTTCTGATAATGCTGCCGGATCCGCTGGCTCTTCTTGAGCGTCAATGTGATCATCGTCAGATGGTCTGCTGGCATTGAATGCACCAAGGTCCGGTGACACAGATCTTTGCGAACCCGCACCAGGGCTCCCTTCACCCTGCCAGCTCATCGCGTCGTCGTCATGCACAGAGTTGGCTCCCGCCGAGCTGGCCACGCTGACGGTGGCATCCCGGTCATGGCTTTGCCGTCGGCCAGGGCCGCTGAACAAGGTATTGCGTACTGAAACTGACCCGGTCAACTCGCCTGGATCCGGGCCAAACGGGTCGTCCATGCGCTCAGTCCCCGAAACCGAAACCCGTGCAGGAGACAGCGACTGGGCGCTCCGGACAATGAAGTCCTTGACTTGACTCAACGGAGCAAGCCAGGACCTGGACGGCGACTGAACCACGGCACCGACTCGCGGTTGCGAGGGTGACCGCATCTCCCGGTCAGGCGGGGCATGAGGGGCCACCGTAGCGGGAGACTGGCTGGACTTGGGAAAAGAACCACGGAATGGACTGCGTAGCACACTGTCCCTCCCAGGTGGTGACGGCGGATCCGACGTGATGATTTGTAGAGCTCGGCCGGCGCGGACGATCGGTGACAGGGACGGTCTGGACTGAGGCTCGGGTGCAGGTAAGTGCACAGGTGGGATGTCACGGCCTCCCATGTTCGCCGACGTAAAGGAGGAGAGTTGATCGGCGGGTGTCTCGGTCGAGTTGCGGCGGATGTGCTGTGTGATGGCATCACTGGGCTGTACCAAGCTTTCGATCGGTCGCGAGGAGGGCGAACCAGCATTCGGAGCAGGCCGCGGTGGACTGGACTGGGGGTTATGGTTCTCGGCATCGGATTGGATCGGCGATGGTGTCTCATCAGGAGTCAACAGCCTATTCGTCTCAGATTGGGGGTTGGAGTAGTTCACTCTTGAGGGCCGCTCAATGGACGGCTGGATGTCTTCGTCTGGCTCCTCGGATTCGGGCTGAGGCCGACGGTATCGCCGTGGTGTTGCAGCCGCAAGCACAACCTCGGGAATCTCGGAGAAGGAGTCGTCGTACGTGCTCGCCTCTTGGGGCTCGGCAGTAACGGGCGGTTGAGGAAGAGCCGGCGACTGACGTTCCCCTTGCTGAAGGGACTTTTCGGCCAAGCGTCTGGCAAGAGGCTGAGCCTTCGCTCTGCGTGGACTTTGTCGCCGATTCTGTGGTGGGCTTAGTGGAGGGAGGGCTGGTTTCTGTTTTGGCTGGGCGGAATGCTCTGGGAGCTGATCGCCAGTCGGCTGTGCTGCGACGGCCACGGGAGCCGGTTTTCCGCCGGTCTGCTCTGTAGACCTGTTTTGACTCTGCCTCAGGGATTCCAATGCGCCGTTGATGATCATGCTTGTTGCCTCACCAAGCTCCTCGTGGGCCGGCGCCATCACGCTCGAGTTCGGCTGCATCGACGGTAACGACCCGATGGAGATCAAGGTAAATCCCTCCGCCATGACCGTGTTCTCAACATCATTGTCACTATGCTGCTCGCTTGTCATGGACCCGGCGTCGCTGTATGAATCCGCTCCGCCACCCAGGTCCGGCCAGTCGTATTGCGGTTGGTCTCCTGGGTCGTGCTGCGGCAGTTGCGGTTCTGGTTCCGAAGCGCGTCGATCTCTCACGGTGTAGTCTGCGTCGTACGATCGCTGCTGTCCCCGGGCAACTGGTGTAGGTTGGTCGGACAAAGTCGCGAGCCAGATATCGTCCTCCATGCCACGGCCCCGCTGATCCGCCTGATGAGGCGCAAATGAGCCATGGGTGCCACCCTCAGGGTTTGGCGTGTCCTCCTGACCTAACCGCGTTGTATCGCCGTCAGTCGTGGTTTGCTTCCTTGGCCGACCTCGTTTCCGCGGTTGGCTGCTTGGCGGACCGTCCTCCGATGCGGGCGACGTGGCCTTTCGTTTTGCGACTCGTCGCGGCTGGGAACTAGGACGCGGGTTCGTCTCGAATTCGAGGTCTGAAGTGAGGATATCCTTCTGAGGAAATAGAGATGCGCCAGGGGCGTCCTTGCGACCCCTGACTGGCGTCCCAGGTCGTTTGCGCCGGGTTGGTTTTGGAGTTCCCAATTTTCGAGGGCGTCCTCTCCTCCTGGGTGTCCCATTGCTCGACCCTGCTGCCTCGTCGTCGCTCAGGCCGCGTAGTGGTACCGTTGTTGTTGTTACCGCGGTCCCCCGTCGCGGTGTGGCTCGTCGTTTCGGGGTGGGCGACTGGAAGAGACGACGGCTGGTGTTGCGCGTGCCCTCGTCCCCGGCCTCGACAGTAACGAGCAGCCGTTGCGGCGAGCCCTCATTTCCAACGTCCAACTCGAAAGTCTGCTTCCTCGGGGACGGTGCGAGCACAGTGAACAGGCGCTCGGCAGCCTGACTCTTTTTCTTGATGTGCGATGGGGGCATCATGGGAGGGCTGAGGACCGGGTCGATCAATGGGTCGGGTGACGACCCCAGGTCCAGCGTGATGGTGCGCTCCTCTTCCATCGCGGCAGACCTGCTGACACGGTGACAACGAGAAATGCAGCACCAGCCCGAACCCGCGTCTGCGCGTGCTGGTATCGATAAAAAGTGGCGTCAACAGCGATGCAAGTGGGTTAGCCTGTCACAACCTCTGTGCGACCGAGATCCACAAGCCCGCGTCTGTTTACATGCTTCCACTTTGGGATGAGCCAGACAGCGCTTGCCAGCCAATCACAGCGCATGGGGGCGGGGAAACGTTCTCCCTTGCTGGACCAACTCGGATTCTCCTCTCCAAGACGTCATGTTCCGAAACCTACCAACTCGTGCAGTTGGTGATGCATCCGCACTACCTACTGCAACAATTAGTAATTACATGTCAAGTGCACAAGCGCATTGCGGGATCATCAGCATTTGGCCTTAGACAGCGCCCTCCGAACCACCTTTCGACATGACCAAGCCGAATTGCGCAACCGGCAATCCGCGCGGCATTCGTGTTACCTGTCAGAAGCTGCGTGTAAGTGGTCTCGCATGTTCGCCGTGCTTTGAAATTGAGGGTTTCGTCAAACAGACCCCGAGGCAATGTAGCAGCAGAGAGCATATATATACCTTCAATTCATGAGCCATCTCTGCCTGAGAAATACGATCAACGTCACTGTTTCCGTGCTCTCCCCTGTGCTGTCTGCCATAAGCCCATCACCCTCACCATTCCGTTTTCCACCATCGCAACCATGGCAACCACCGAGGAACCACCCCGAGGCGACGTCGTCGCTGCTCTTAACTTCTACTCCCCTCCCGAGGACGGCTCAACGCCTTATAATCTCGCCGGCGACGTCCCACCGGGCGTGCCCGAACGCAATTTTGGGTCCGTATCCAAGGAGGTTATGATCCACGACATTCGCGGCCGTGAATCCGACTTCACCCTCGACAAGGACGCCTTCCAGATCCTCCTCAACCAGCCCCCTTCATCAGAGCCTTCCTTCACAGACGACGCTTCCATCCAAAAGAACTACTACCCCGAGGTTGAACGTCTCCTCCTTGACACCGTCACGGGGGCGACCAAAGTCATCATCTTCGACCGTAAGCCCTCCTTTACTCCCCAACCCTGCCTCAGCCACGCAAACTGATCACCCACCCCCAAAGACACGATCCGACGCACCGACCTTTCCTCCCCGCGCAAACCCGTCTCCCGCGTGCACATCGACCAAACACACCACTCAACCGTCCAACGCATCCACCGGCACGCTTCCTCTCCCGCGGAAGCAGCCGCCCTCCAGTCCCAGCGCTACCGCATCATCAACGTCTGGCGGCCCTTGAACGCCCGCCCGGTCGAGTCCTTCCCGCTAGCCTTCGCCTCGTCATCCACGCTGCGCGACGCCGACGTCGTCCCCGTCGAGCACCGGTACCCGGCTAGCACGGGCTACGTCGGGCAGACCGCCGCGATCCGGCACCACCCGGAGCAAGCCTGGTACTATCTCAGCGGGATGACCGGGGACGAGCGCATCCTGCTCGAGTGTTTCGACAGTGAGGCGTTGAAGGAGGGGAGTGCGGTCAAGGGCGGCCGGGTGGCGCACTCTGCGTTTGCGGATCCCAGGACGAGGGAGGGGGCTGAGGGGAGGGAGAGTATCGAGGTTAGGGCATTGGTGTTCGGACCGTACTCGGAATAGCTGGGTGTCTCGGATAGGTACCTAGTGTTGGTGGTTGATTTGAGCGGCATAGCATGGAGTTGGCAAGCGTGATTGATAATATTTGATAGACGGAATGAGATCGATTTTGGACTCGAGCGGGTATAAAAGCAAAGCCGTGATAGCCAAGTCCCCTTCGCCTGTGGATCCGCCCAACACCACCCATGTATCCGTGGCTTCCGATACCACGCCCTAAACCAGCAGATGATCCCTACAAAACGCCCAAATAAGTCTTGACCCATGTATGACCGAGTGCACGTTATTCGCCCTGTTATTGTCTTGTTCCCGTCGACTCACCCGCCCCGCCCGCCTCGTCCGCCTTTCCGACTGCTACTCCGGCTCATGGCCACGCCGTTCGCACTCGACTGCCTGCTCATTGGCACGCCTCCCAATGCCGAACCCTTGGCTGGTGAAGGCCCCGGCGTCCCTCCATGGCCGATTTTAGGGGTGCCGGCTCGCTCCGACATGACCGGCTCAACCACGTCCGACAATACGGGAAGCCCCAGCTGCTTCCTCACTTGGTTCTCCGACGGCCGCTCGCCCTGCAGATACGCAACAAAACGGTGGTCCTGTGCCGGCATCGACGCTGCCTCCAGCAGCTTTCGACTGCCGTTCTCCACCGAGAAGTTGGAACCCACACCGTGTGTATCGTCGTACTGCTTCAGCGCCTGCATCACCGCCATGTCGGCGTGCACATCGTCGGCGCTGAGCGTGGTGGGGACGTTGTACTCCATTTTGTTGCCCTTGATGTACGTCGACGGGAACGTCGGTGGTAATTTTGGCTCCGCCGCGAGCATGCGGTCAAAGTTGCCCTGGAAGTCAAAGCTGGCTAGCATCTCCATGCCCATGAGCTTGTCGTCCACAAAATTAGCATTGTTGGTTCCCCCGCGGGCACTCCGTGTGGCATGCGACACGTTCCTTTCCATAATGGGAGCTGAAGGAACCGAGTCCGACCCTTCATCATCGTTTTCGCCGGCTCCCGAGTCGCTACCGTCAGGCGATTTGATGGGGCGCCCGTGCTCGTCGAGCTTGGGCTTATGTGTAAGTATGTACTTCCTGGCGGCCAGAGTCGCCGCGCTCGATGTCATTCCGAGCTCCTTGTCAGTGAAGAGCTTATCGATGCTGTACACCGTCCCGGTGGCCTTGCGCGAAGATAGCCGGTCCGTCTGCCAAAGCGGTGTGGTGCCGGAGGCATCCAAAGCCCGGCGCTGTGGTGCTGGCGAGCCGTCGTCGTCATTGTTGTTATTCATGCGCTTCCTCTTTTTGTTCTCAAATGTCATGTCTTCCATCTCACGGCGTTGCCGTGTCGCTCGCTTGCCATGCGCGCCGCCTGGACTGGCAGGGTTGGTGATGCTGAATTGGCTGGGATGGAGCAGGAGGGCGGCAGCGTCCGAAATCTCGAGCGCCTCCTTCTCCTTGTTCAGCCGAGACTTCTTGCTCATAATGACGTTTATTAGGCGGTCGCGGAGCGTCTGGGACAGAGCGCGGTATTCTCTATTCGCGGTTTCGATTTTGAATGCATGTGTAGTAAGGTACTCGGACGTTTTCTTCTCGTAATCGAACTGCGGTCGAGAAGTCAATATGTATGAAGGCCGGCAGGAAAGGTCCGTTGGTGCATACCTTGTACTTGGTGAGGGCATAGTCCCGTTGTTCAATCAGATCTTGCACCTTCTCCATCCATTTGGAGAACCTCGGCCCCGCCCTGTCAAGGAGACTCTGGGGCCCTGACTGACCGTCGCCGTCTCCGTTGAGCTGCTGAAGTCTCTGCTGGTCTTGCTCAAAGCCATCCAGCGGCCGATCCACGTAAGGGTCGACTCTCATGACCAGTGTGGTGTCGATCTGAATCTTGTGCAGCTGCTCGCGAAATCCCTGGTCTCTATCCTTATTGAGCTTGTCCGAGAGCGAGGCAAGACGGTCGACAAGCATTTGGCGGCGCTTGTCTCGCTTCGATTGTGTAGGCGGAGGCGAGCCGTTGACGCGGCGGTCAGGCCGATGTGGAAGGGCATCAGCCATGGTGGCATCCGCCGTAGCCATCCTGCGTTGCGCTTGGGGTTGAGGACTCTTCGGTCGAGCTTGGCCACCGAATGGCAGTCAATCGCAAAAATGGTGGTGGGTGCGAGGCCGGCGATGAGCGGGAAGTCCGAGGTTTTGGTAAGCGCAGTTGGGATATGGAAGATCAAAAAGTATGAAGTGAATTCGTTGTGCCGAGAAGATATTGGTACATCTTTCTCAGGGAAGGTTTTATGTTGAGTGGACGGGTGTCGTGCGTGTTGGCTCTGCTCGGGAGGAAAAGCAGGAAGACGATCCGAAGCGCTGGTCTGATGCTTGCCGACAAACCAGTGTTAGCCGACAGCTCAAGTGTGTGCCATTGCTTGCAAAAGGGAGGCATCATTCATCAGGCCGGCTTCCAACCAATCAGCGCAGCACTGGAGGGGTAGGGGCTTGGAGTTAATCCGGGCGTTGCCGGCCGGGCCGTGAGCTCAGAGAGTGGAGAACGTGGGGAGTCATTCGGTCGTCGGTGGGGTTGGTACATCCTGCGCGTGCCCTGCGTTTGTTGCAGTGGGTTCGAAGAATCCAGGCCAGAGCTGGAACTGGAAAGCACATTTCAATAACTGTCGTTGCCAAAGGACGGGAATCCATTTTGATTCGCTTTCAAATCGGGACGTGATGCACATCTAGAAATTCCTTGAAAACAACAGAGCACGGGTCAATACGCCGCCCACTGAACACTCCCCGAAACGCCGATGGACTGGGTGAGAGCAAGAGCATATCCGATTCAGCTCATGACGCGCTACTCGTAATTCAATGGAGAACCTCACCATTTCCGACCCTCCCCCTCCTATGCAGCACGGCGGTGGGGGGGGGATGCCGCCAGTTCTCGGGCGTCCCCCTCCGCCGCCCCAGCAGCTGCCCGCCCAGATGTTCACCACGGCCGCCCAACTCTTGGATCTCACCGACAGTAAGCATATCAACTCTGGAGAGTACAGGGCAGAGACTAACACGGAGCAGAAAAGCTCATGGTAGCACTGCGCGACGGCCGGAAGCTTCTGGGAATCTTGCGCAGTTGGGATCAATTTGGTATGAGACGCCGTCATGCTGTGAAAGTGAAGTCACGACAAGGGTTTTGAGTTAACACTCCTGGCCCAGCAAACTTGGTCCTGCAGTCCACCAAGGAGAGGATCTTCGTGCCGCCCGGAACGGCGCCCGACCAGCCTCGGGGCTTGTACGCTGACATCGACCGCGGCCTGTTCCTGGTGCGCGGTGAGAACGTGCTGCTGTTGGGCGAGATCGACCTCGACAAGGACGACGAACCGCCGCCGGGCTACGACCTGGCCGATGTTGAGCTAGTCCAGAACCTAGCCAAGCAAAGAAAGCTGAACGACAAGACGAAGGAGAAGAAAAAGGTGAAGATGCTCGCTAAAGAGGGCTTTGAGGGCGAGAACCTGGGCGAAATTCTGTTCTAAGCAGCAGGAAGGAACGTCAGCATGACAGATTCAGTGAGGAGAGGACAGGTGGCTTGGAAGCAGAATATTGTGAAATGCTCTCCATCCACTTCCGAGACTTATAGTCACCGGGCTTCGCAGAGACGAGTGCCAAAGAATAGCAACCGTCCCGGATGCCGTTTCCCGACCTCGAGTTCCCTGGGCCATCGATTGATCCATCGATCCCGGTTTCGCACAACTAACGGCCTCCTTGCAGGGACTAGAGTTACACCATACCTTATGATCTTTGGCGTTGAATAATGCTGACTCAGGGGCTGAGGCCAGTTATGCTTTATTTTTCTAGCCTGCAGGTGTTTCTAGGACGACATACCAACCTTCCTCGCTCACAAAGCGGGCAGGAAGCCCCCTACCTGCACATCCTTCTCCCAGGACGTAGGCCAGTGTCCCGTCTTCCCCTCACTGCCATCCCATCCGCCAGCCATCATAGCCGTGGCGACCAGGAATGAGGCCGAGTTTGGGAATTATGGTGTCGGCACCCTGGAGCCGCCGACGGGGTACCCAGCATCATCAAACTGGAAGATGGGATGCAGGAGATACTCAACCGCCTGCTCGGGGTCACCGAGCCGCAGCGAATTCATGGCCAGCATGGCAAAGTCCCACCCGTACGAGTATTTCAGCGCCCACAACTCCCTAATCTTGGCCGCCGTCTTCTTGAGAGCTTCCGTGTCCAACGGCTTCCCACTCGCCGGTGGCGGCAGCAGCCCATAAAGCCCCGCCATAGCCGGATGGCCATTTGTCGTGGCATTCGACGTCCACATGCCCTCGATCCCCTCATACACCACGTACGTCCCGTCCACCATGGGCAGCGGCGCCAGTCGGTCCCTCACGGCAACCCACTCCGCGGGCACCGCCTCGCCCAACCGCTCCTTCCACCGCACCGCAACCTCCAGCCCAAACCTCCAATACGCCAACTCAAACGTCGGATTCCGCGTGCAATTGGGATTCGTGTTCTCCGAAACAGGATACATCGGCGGGCCCAAGTCATACACCCCCGAACTCTGATTCCACCACGCATACGACGCCATGAACTCCGCCGCCGCGCTCACCACCCCGTCCCACCTCCTCAGCGTCGACACGTTTGGATGCGCCCGATACTCGACCTCGGCAAAATACATTGGATGCGGCTGCTGCCAGATCAGCAGCGCATTGATCTCCCCCGGCGCGCTACGGCCCGACGGGTCGCTCATCTTGCCCCACCGCGCCCCCCCGTAGCCCTGCATCCGCGCGCGGGCGACTGCCGAGGGCAGAAATTGCTCGTACGTGGCCGGCTGGCTGCGCCAGAGCAGCGGGAAGCGGTTCCAGCGCGCGAAGGGCAGCGTGTGCCAGAGGGTCATTTCCAGGTGGAACTTGCCATGCCAGCCGTTGCTGACGAGGCCGGATTATTGTGGAGGGTAGGACGAGGCCGAGTTGATGGCGGTGAGGTACTGGGAGAGGATGATGCGCAGCTGGAGAAGGTGGGCGCGCGGGTCGGTGACCGAGGTCAGGTCGATGAAGGCGCCTGTCGTCCAGAAGGTTTGCCACCAGGTGCGGGAGGCCGTGGTCACGCCGGAGTAGGTGATGGTGCGTTCTTGTGCGTTGGGGCTGGGCGAGAGAGTGACGATCAGTTGGGTGCTCGTCTGAGACGTGGTGAAGGTGTAGCGGTGGGTTCCGTTTGTCGGGCCGCTCATCTTGCCCTGGCCTCTCCATGACACGTGCGTGTAGTAGGTTGTGGCATCCAGAGCATGCTTTATCCTGGCAGAGTTGGACGACAGGTTGTCGAGCAGGGTTGAGTGTTTCGACGTGAGGTTGAAGTGTCCGACAAAGGGGGCATTGAACTTTTCCTTGTCAGGGTATGGAAAGTCGAAGAAGAGGCCCAGACCTCGTTTCAGGAGCTTCGAGTTGATGCTGACGGCGATGGTATCCGAATCAGGATCGGCCCATGTCTCGACCTTGACGGGAGACCCATCGTATACGAAGGATGACGAGAGCCTCCCTGTCCACAGGTCGAGTGTCTGGGATTTGTGCTGCAAGTCGTCCTCTGTGACACCCTGGCGCCCAAAGTCAAACCCCACGTTGGCTAAATTCAGGCGATGAGGGTTCTCTCTGAGCCAGTTGGAGATGTCGTTCTGGGCAGAGTTTGGCACTTCATACGTGACAAGTCTGCCGTGCGTCCACATCTGTAGGCCCGTGTAGTCTTAGGAGTATTGATGGCTGAGAAGGATGGGAGTTAGAGTGACGGCGTACCTTCTACGGAAGTCTGTCCAGGGGCCGTTGGCAGGCTGAAATTCTGCCAGGCCCATGTGGGACATGATGGCATATGGCTTGAATGTCTGCAAGCCCGTGATATCGGCTCCGAAGGCGAAGTTACCATTGCCAACTTGCAACGGCGTGGAATCGGAATTCTTGGTCCGGCGGACATTGAATGACCGGACAACCTTCCGGCGCTGCCCCACAGACACTGCCTCCGTAGCGGAGGACAGCGCGAGCAGAAGAGGTAGGACGCGCATTGCTGTTGCCACCATGATCTCAGGCACGGTTTCCAACCACCACCTAACTCACTACGAGAGAAAGCGGTTGGAGGCGGCTAATATACCTTGTTGCATGGCATGCTCACTGCCCGGCCATCTCCCAAGTCAGTTTCCCCAGGATCGGGTGCCAGGTTCCCCAAATCGATCCATCCACGGCGTGTTTTCTCCGACCCATCAACTTGGACGGGAGGGGTTGTTGTCGTCCAGATAGAGGCAGGATGGTCATAGCCGTTGCAGGGTAGGATCCTGCCGGCTGCGTCCCCGATTTCGTCCCTGCGGGGTTTGCCAGAGGAACTCGTGTAGGAGCATGTTCGGGTTACGATGGCCCGACGGCAACCAGAAATCAGGCCGGCAGAGTGCGGAGGCAAGTGATCGACGTTGCGGACTGGTGTCTGCGTGCCTGATGGAGGCAGATCAGAGTGTCTGCAAGGCAGTTGTCCCCGGCCCAGCTAGGGCGGCAGATCCAAAGACCCGACAGAGCGTGGCTTGCCCCATTCAAGGTTGAAGCAACAGTATATTCTCTTTGCCTGTTCAACCAAGTTGGGAAGGTAGATGACATTGTGTACGCAGTTCCTTACACAGGAACACAGAGAACATGGGAAGCGTTGGAGCAAAAAACAGCCTTGGGAACCTAGCGACTGGTTCAGTTCGATCACGACTGGACGCACACTGAAAGACGGCCTCAGATCTGTGTACCATGCCTGTGTAGTACGTCTATCAGACCGTTCCAAAGCCTTTTTTGATGGGCCTCGAGACACCCCACCGGCCACCGGTAACTCTGAAAATGGATTCCTCAAGAGAACTGAAAGTTGCTGGTCCTGCCTTTGAAGATGGATTTGAGCTCTGGAGCTGATATTCCTGATATTGTAACCTGGCGTAAAAGCCCTAGAGCCTCCATTAGAGGTACAATATGTACCTGAGATCCGTTGGTGCAACATAAACCCCGCTAAAATGTGGCGCTTTAACGCTGACCTGCCCCCTGTTGTGCCGTAAATCAATCAGTTGCCCATTTTCCGGTTGCTGCTGCCTACGCGGGAGAGCAGGGCAGCAATGTTTACACTCTGCGCTCTCCCGATTCCGTGCCACATTCCAATAATTTCTCTCCGTTGTTGACTTCCAAGACATCAACACCAACATCATCATTGTATGCGATATTGGTTTTTCCGAACACTGCATTTCGCAAACCCCGACGTCCTCCAGAGTCGCCCAGATTCAGGTACAAAATACATTAGGTAGCGCATCCCTGGACTCCGCTTAAGGTGCATTGGTGGATCGACTCCAGCGACCTGCGTCATAAGGTTCTGGCCCCCGCTACACGCCCGCTGCCTTGGTCTTGTGGCCTCAGTTCAGCAAGGTATTCGGGAACCCAGGTCCCTGGTTCTAGCCATGAGCTCCTTTCTTACCACCGTGTGAGTCGATTCCCGTTGTCGCAAGCATACACACAATGGCAACCGAGCGATTGTATCCCTCCCCGTTCCCTAGCGCAGCCAGCGCATCGCTTTGGGTGTTGCTTGTTGGCGCCCGATCCGCCCTGGAATCGGGGTCAAGCCCAAACAGATGCGACACGAGCTGAATAAAGATTGCTAACTCGGGCGAAACAACAGCAACAACCGGACGAAGAACCAGTTCCGACCTCGAGTACCCGGCAAGGGCGGCGCTACGAGCTACCAGCTTCGCCAGTATGCGGAGGCAACACTCGGTGGCGGGAGCCTGCGGAAGGTGGTGAAGCTGCCGGAGGGCGAAGATGAGAACGAGTGGTTGGCTGTTAACAGTATGCCGAATCTTGCGACGACTGTCTGTATGAGTATCCACGCTGACAGCGGCTCCAGTGGTGGATTTCTACAATCAAATCAACCTCCTGTACGGCGCCATTACCGAATTCTGCTCTCCTCAGACATGCCCGGAGATGAAGGCGACAGATGAGTAAGGTTGGGGATCTCCCGAATTCTGGGTCATAAACTGACAGGCCAGGTTTGAATACCTGTGGCAGGATTCGGAGAATTACAAGCGGCCAACCAAGATGCCGGCGCCGGCCTACATCGAGCAGCTGATGAGCTGGGTGCAGAGCAACATCGACAACGAGGCGGTCCTCCCGAGTCGTATCGGTAAGGCTCGCTTGAATTTGTAAATAGCGCAGTTCCCTGTACTAACTAAGAGCAGGCGTTCCATTCCCCAAGTCGTTCCCAGCGCTGGTGCGCCAAATCTTCAAGCGCATGTACCGAGTCTACGCCCACATCTACTGCCACCACTACCCCGTCATTCGCGAACTCGGCCTCGAGCCGCATCTCAACACCAGCTTTAAGCAGTACGTCCTGTTCATTGACGAGCACAGCTTAGCCAGCGGCAAGGACTACTGGGGCCCTCTGGGTGATCTGGTGGACAGCATGCTGCGCAGCGACTAGGCTGCAACGTCTTCTTTTCTTTAGAGATACCGAATTGGTTGGGCTTTGTTGCATCGCGGCGTTTGGTTGGGCTTGGCCGATACAGGAATTAACGGGTGCCTGGGTTGAGGATTTAGGGGTGGCTGGCAACGCATGCGGATAATGGGAATGGAATGCGATGCGCGACCGGAGTCTCTGGGAGAGCAGGCTTTCTGTAGAGATTACTATGAACGAGATAGATGCCATTGATGGGCTGACTTTATGAGCAATGATGGGATTCAGAGCTCCAAGCCACAAGTGAAACCAACAAAGACTAACTGAGATGGGAGCATAACAAACGCTGCAGACTTCAATGTCGTTTCCAGGGGGACAGAAAGCGACATTACGGTAACTCGTATTGACTAGTACACGGTAAGTTTCGGAACCGGTCCCACCCGGACCTTCTTGATGCCTCAGGCGACAACGAGATTGCCGAGCAGCCAAACCCCGTTCCTTCGAAAACTGAACCGGAAGCTCGCTTTCACGACTTTGAGGTTAATCATCGCATCCGCCCCAGTCACCATGCTTTCGCGACAGGCACTGCTGCGTTCCGCGCGGACGGCAGCTCCCCATCGTGCCCTTATCGGCCAGATCCGCACGTTCGCCGCGCCGGCGTCGAGCGAGAAGGTGAAACCCCCGGTCGCCCTCTTCGGCCTCGACGGCACCTATGCTACAGCTCTGGTACGCCCGCCCCGGTCGCGCAATTGGCCATTTCCCAACAATGTATTTGGCGGAGGATGCAGCTCTGGTTGGAGGAAAACTGCAGGCAATCAATTGCCTCCCGGCTGCGGATTGAAATAATGGGAGGAAACAACAGATTACGAAACTAACCTGCGTCATTTTGCCTTGGCTCGCGGAATAGTACACGGCCGCCGTCAAGACGTCGTCCCTCGAGCCCACCGCCAAGGGCCTCGCTGCCCTCGGCAACCTCCTCCAGAAGGACCTGAAGCTGGTCACCATCCTCGAGGCCCCGACCCTGTCCGCCGCCGACAAGAGCGCCGTGGTGGCCGAGCTGCAGAAGAGCGCCGGCGCCTCGGGCGAGACCGTCAAGAACTTTCTCGCTACCCTTGCCGAGAACAACCGCCTCGGCCTGCTGCCTGGTGTCTGCAACAAGTTTGGCGAGCTCATGAGCGCCGCCCGCGGTGAGGTCGAGATGGTGGTTACCAGCGCTCAGGTAGGGCTCTTCTATCTGTTGGGTGGATCGGGGGAAATTGTTATCTGGGGAAATTATGATGCTGACGAGCGGGGGAACATCACAGCCTCTGGACAACAAGACCCTCTCCCGCCTGGAAGCCGCCGTCCAGAAGTCGAGCTACGTCGGTGCTGGCAAGAAGCTCAAAGTCAAGAACACTGTACGTTTCACCCCTCCTTTTCCTGAAAAAGAAAAAAAATTCCTACGGTCCGGATGCTAAGCTCACGCAGGTCAACCCCGATATTGTCGGCGGTCTCGTCGTCGAAGTCGGCGACAGGACAATCGACCTCAGCGTCTCTTCCAAGCTTGCCAAGATGAACAAGCTGCTCACCGAAACCCTGTAAATCAACTATTCTTTTGTAGCAATGGAGTTATTCTGAGCCCAAAGCTGGGCGCGAGGGATTAGGGAGACAAGACCGCAAGCAGGCTCGTCGTTTGTGTTGTGTTAGAGGGTCCCCATGTACATGAGCCGAATAGACCCGTTTCACTACAGATCATCACGTCCTCACTCGGCGTCTTATGCTACGCTGCGTCTCCGACATGTCGAGTCTCGCATATCTTTAACATTCCCACAACGCGAGTCGAGGGCAGAACAGAAATGGGAGAGCTCGCATCGTACAAATTTCTCGAGGTACGCAAGACGCAGTCGACTCAGCAACAGAGTATAAAATTCCATGTGTGATCTAATGTCAACGGCTAAGTACTCCCACCCGTAATCATCATGTTTGTATAAGCAACCTAGCTTCTCTCCGTGAACAGCATCTTTGCCGGGCCTTCTCGCCCCTTCCATGGAATCTTGCGCCTTTCTGCAACGGAACCTGATCAGTCCATAGCTGTAAACGGTTCTGGCCTCAAACTGATGCAGCGTACAGCCCATGGGATATATTCAATCGGGCGAGACAGCCGGAAAAAATACGACAGCAACATAATAGAAAGCAGAGCTAGAAAGAATGAGGAGAAAAAATACTCAGTATAGTGAGAATTGGATACTTGCGTCAGCCGCGAATCGAACGCGGGGCCCATCGATGGCAACGATGGATTTTACCACTAAACCACTGACGCTTCATTAATCAATTGCTAAGTATAGCATTACGTACCGTGAGATCATTGCGTTCGCTGACTCCACCCAACACTCACGACCAGACCCAACTCTGTACACTGAGGTGACTCACAAGGTCCAAGCGAATTTGAACAGACACAAGCTACACAGAACCGATCTGATCTATATACCTGTCTCAGCTGTCTCAGCCTGTCTATCACATCTCACCCAACCACAAACAAACCCCAGAAACCCACCGCTCTCCGCTATCGATTACCAAAACCAGCCACCACCCAAGCCCAAGTAACATCAAGGCGTCGTCTCAAGCTCATCCACCTCCTCCTCCCCATCCCCCCGCTCCATCCGCACCCTCTCCAACTGCTGGCTAATATACGAATGCAGATGCGCATCCGCCTCAGCCCTCTCCTTGGCCCGCTCGGGATCGTGCAGCAGGCTGGGGTTGACCGAGCCCCTCCTGCCACCATTGTGCGGCCTCGAGGCGCCAGGCGTCTCGTCACCGCTCTCCTCCGCCCCGGTGTCATACCCATTCACGCTGTAGTCGCTCCTCGCCGCGAGTGAGCGGCTCGTCGAACTGCGGCGGAGGCCGAGGCGGGGCGTCGTGGGGGACAGCATGTTGGGGGTTTGCGCGCCGGGCGGTTGGGCGCTGCGGTGGATGATGTCGTCGAAGTAGTGCGACATGCCAGCGCGCGGGGTGCGCGGTGTCTGCGGGAGGCGGCAGTTTACGCTAGCCCAACGATTTAGTTATGTGTTACGCAAGGCACGAGTGGCGAGGCGGAGAAGAGGGGAAAGGGGGCTTACCCAGTGTCGTGGATCATGCGGGCAATGAGGCCAGTCCAGCCACATTGGTGTGTCGCGCCGAGTCCGCGGCCCGTGTCGCCGTCAAAGAACTCGTAGAACCAGAGGTAGTCCCTCCAGTGCGGGTCAAAGTCGAGCGTGTCGTTGCCGCCGTTGATGCTGCGGCGGCCTTCGTTGTCGCGCGCAAAGAGGTGCTGGAGACGGTGTTGGATCTCCTCCGCAACATGGCCCAGGTGGATGTAGTCGCCCGAGCCCACGGGACATTCGACCTGCAGGTTCTGCCCATGGAAGAGGTAGAAGCGCTGAAGCGATTCAACGAGAAGGAAGTTGACGCACAGCCAGATCGGCCCTCGCCAGTTGCTGTTGCCGCCGAAGAGGCCGCTGTCCGAATCACCAGGAACGTAGCCAACCTTGAAGACCTGCCCGTTTACCTCCATGGAGTAGGGGTGCTCCTTGTGGTATTTAGACAAGGAGCGGATACCGTGCGGACTGAAGAACTCGTCCTCATCCAGCATGCGTTCGAGGATCTTGACGAGCCGCTCCTTGTTCACGAGGGACAGAAGAATTCTGTTACCCCTGCCGCGGGTACGGATGCTGTGCATTGTCCGCTCGGCTACATCGCAGCGGTTGTTCATGAACCACTCCACGCGCTTCTTGAAGGCGGGAAGCCTGTTGATGAGCTCCGGCTCCAGGGTGAGGGTCGCATACAGAGGAATCAGGCCAACTAGAGACCGGACGGGCAGCTGTTGGATCCAGGGACCGCCCCACGAAATGGCATCGTAGTAGAAGCCGTCCTGCTCGTTCCAGAGCGACTGCGCCTCCTTTTCGCCCATCCGGAAAGTCATGGCGTCGCTAATCAAGATGAAGTGCTCGAAGAACTTGGTCGCAATATCCTCGTAGATGCGCCGGTGCTTGGCCAGCTCCAGGGCGATGTTGAGCATGTTGAGGCAGTAGAAGGCCATCCAGCCTGTGCTGTCTGCTTGCTCCAGGGTACCGCCTGTGGGTAGCGGCTCCGAGCGGTTGAACAGGCCGATGTTGTCCAGTCCGAGGAAGCCTCCCTCAAAGACGTTCTTACCCTCGACGTCCTTCCGGTTTACCCACCATGTGAAGTTGAGGAGCAACTTCTGGAACACTCTTTCAAGGAAATCAAGATCCTGCCTTCCGTAGAGCTTACGCTCGATCTTGAAGACGCGGAATGTTGCCCAAGCATGCACTGGAGGGTTGACATCACTGAAATTCCATTCATAGCTGTTCCCCCATTAGTTGATGGCTCTCACACTCCCGTAGTGGACTACTTACGCAGGGAGCTGGCCATTCGGATGGCAGTACCACTCGCGGGTAAAGAGATCCAGCTGCTTCTTGGCGAAATCCGGGTCGATCATGGCCAGGGTGATGCAGTGAAAACTGGTGTCCCACGCGGCAAAGAAGGGATACTCCCAAGAGTCGGGCATTGACAAGATGTCGTCGCAGTGAAGGTGTCTCCACGCAGCATTGCGAATGCCTTTCCGACCGGGCGGCGGCGGCGGCTGGACCGGGTCACCGTTTGCCCACTCCTCCCAGATGAAGAGGTAATGCTGTTTGCACCACATCATGCCTGCAAAGGCTTGTCTCTGGATGTTGCGGAGGTCGTCTGCCATTGGTAGAGGACTGATGTGGTAGTAGAAGTCATCGGCCTCCTCACGCTTCTTCTCGATGATATCGTCAAACTCTTCCTCGTCGAGGTATGTCTCGGGTTTCTTCGAAAACCGGAACCGAACGACTGCTTCGGTCAGTCCCGATCACTCGCAACACTACTGGGATGGACATACCTGCGCACTCGCCGGGGTCAACACCACCCGCTTCGTTGAATGTAAACCGAGCAGCCGCCTTGGTGCCAATTTGAGCCGGGTTGACCGCACCCTTTTCTTGGTTGACAATGTGGCGGTGGAACGCGTCCTTGACGTATTGTGACTCGTTTTTGCCCCCGTACAGCATCTCAAAGTTAGTCTCGTTTTCAGTGAACAGCAGCTCAGGCTGGACATCTTCCCCGCTAGGGCCGACACCGGGAGATGGAGACAGAAGGACGTAGCGGTCTCCCAGTTGGTGATGCTTCGACTTGAGCAGGTACTCGTCGTGAACACCTATGGAAGGCCTGTTCTCGGCAGGCTCGCGGCCCCAAGACCAGGTGTTGCGGAACCACACATGGGGGATGATGTGGAGGGGCGCACGCTCGGGGCCTCTGTTCCAGGCAGTGACACGGAACAGGAGCTCGTCGGGGTCGTCATCTTCTTTGGCGGTCTCGATGAAGATATCCCAGTAGCGGTCCTCGTCGAACACGCCGGTGTCAAGAATCTGGTATTCCTTATCGTCCTTGCCTCGCTTCGCATTTTCGATGAGAAGATCCTCATAGGGGAATGCCTTTTGCGGGTATTTGTACAGATATTTCATGTACGAGTGCTGTGATGGGTCAGCTTCGGCGGTTGTTTCAACAGAGCTACAAGAATCTCTTACCGTCTGCCCAAAAACGTTAGCGAAAGGTTGGATAACTTGAAGATGAACACTAGGCTGCGCTTACCGGTGTATTGTCCAGGTGAAAATGAGCCTCCTTGATGCTCTCGCCGTGGTTCCCTTGGGGGTTGGACAAGCCGAACAGGCGCTCCTTGAGAAAGGGGCTAGCAGCATGTCAGCAGGCTGCAAGATCGATCTCCCGCTTGCTCAATTGGCCATACTCCTTCTCGTTCCAGAACGCAAAGGCAATGTTCTGGTAGCCATGGGTGTCGCAAACACCAGCGATGCCGTCTTCACCCCATCTGTATGCGCGAGACCGGGCGTGATCGTGCGGGAAATCTAGGGAAGTGGCTTGTGTGAGCGGACCGCGAAGTGCGAGGGGAGAGCCGAAGAGTGGCCAAGTTCGGCGTGCAACTTACGACTCCATGCATCGCCGTCTGCGCTGTAATCCTCTCGCACTGCATTGACCTAGTTAGACACGGCAGCCTGCGCCAAACTTTGGAAGCCAAAACCAACCAGTCGCCCATTGCCTCTCGGCGACATAAGGGCCCCATTTCTTCCAATACTTGGTGCGGTCGCGGTCCTCCTTGAGCCTCCGCTCCTCCTCGGTGAGATACTCGTGGTTATCGAAGACGACCATGTTGGACTTGCGAGGATATGAAAATATATCCGGATTGGTGCGATAGATATGCCGTATGGAAACGGAACAGTCGCAACGAACGGGGAGCTCTCCCTCTCACTTTCTCTCTCTCGGTCTGCCTGCCAACAAACTCCACAGCAAAAAAGCAGGAGGCTCAGTAAGCACCAGCTAAGATCGTCTGCCAAGTAGGAGCCAGAGAAGAGATCCAGAGGTAAAGCAAGCTCACGGCAAACAAACAATTGGGTTGTTGGCCACCAGCTTGTGAAACTCCAGCTTGGGCTAAACAAATGCTGGCACAAGAAAGGAGTGGCAGTCGAATTGGGACGTTTGTACAAGTACAATACGCGGCAGGGCCTGGCCGCTGACAGGAGATCAGACCTGCTGTGTGACGTCAAGAAACGGCGCCAAAGTTGCCCGCCAACACCAGCCCCGCCGTCGCCTAGAATCAGGGCGGCATGCTTGGCAGAGCGCCGCTTCCCTGGCGATCGATGCGCTCAGGGGGTTCAGCATTTGCCCTGCATCTCCGCTATCTATTTGATCTCATACCTCGTTGCTCCCAAGCACTTCTGACACCCTGCCGTAAGTTGTAGAGGTGGTTCATGCAGCAGCACTGCTGTCTCAATAAAGGGAGGGTAGCTTTGTGAGAGACTTCCGGCTGACTATTGGAACCTTGGAAGTTGGCGTCGCAGCCACCCCGACACCCCTCCGACCCCTGAACAACATGCTGCTGGACGCGAAGCCTTGAACATGGGATGCAGAGGCATGTTTCAAACTGAAGAGTAGCAATACCAATACAACAACAACCAAGCCCTATCGCTACCTGGTATATCAACCATTGCGCCTAACCGGTTTAAATCCTGCTCGTAAAGACCTGTGCCTCGTAGGAAGCCTTGGACAGAGAGAAAATTGGAACAGACACCCGTTCGTGGTAGCACTATAGCTTGGCTTTTGGGGGCTTCGCCGGCGCAGTGGCATCAAGATTGACCACGACCTCGCCCGTCCGCTCGCCGTTGCCAAAGAAGATTACCTGCACCGTCAGATCGTCCCTGTACCGTCTCGAGAACGGAGCGGGCAGCGTCAGCAGCGCCGAGACCTGCTCCTGGTTCTTGCCGCCAAGAGCGTTGCGCACCAGATGCGTCGCCACGTTCGGGTCCTGTACCACGAACCCGTCCGCCGAGTTCCCCCACTGCCGCACCCCGCGAAACGGCGTCTTTTGCCCACCGCTGCCACTGGCGCTGCCGTCCGCGCCCCCCGCCGTCTCGACCGGCAACCCGCCCTTGCCGCCGCGCGACCCAAAGATGCGCCCCCACACCGAGTCGTACTGCGAGCTGCTGGAGATGCCCGGCGTAATCTGCTGGCTCTCAATCCACTTGCCCACTAGGCCTATGACTTCCTCGTTGGTCAGCATCTCCCAAAGCCCATCGGTGGCCATGACGACAAAGTCGCCCTTCTCGGGCTCGATCTTGGTGGTCGTGACAACGGGTTCGGCGGTGACGTAGGGAGGCGTCTTGAGTATCGATGAGACGGAGCGAGCGAAGAAATGCTGCTTCAGCTTCTCCGAGATCTCACGGCTCCATTTGTAGCTGGCGTCTCCGAAGGCGCGCGTAGGCTCCAACCCGCCGAGGACGCGGCCGTTTCGTACGACGTATGGCTCGTTCGGGTGCTGTTTCCGTAACCGTGCCTCTTCATCGGGATTGCTGCCCGTCTGGTCGACCGAGAGCGGTATGGCTATCCACTTGCCAGACTCTGAACGGCGGCCTAGAACAGCTCGCGAATCGCCCGTGCACGCAACGCGTAGCAATTTGGACCGGCTGTCGTAGAAGGAGAGGAGGGCGCAGGATCCTGACAGGGCGGGGGCGAGCAGCTCGGCAGCGGCGATCTTATTGTTGGCCTGCATAACCTTCTGCACGCTCTGATTAACAATCTCGTCATCCAGCTTCAGGAAGCCCTTCTTTATGGCGGCGTCGACGGCCTCTTGCGATGGCGTCAGGCCGAATGTCCTGTATGTGTCGTTGAGTTCCCGGGCCACGAAAGTTACTAGAGCCTGGCGGAGTTTCGCCGAGGTCGTCCATCCTCTGTGAGCACGTGAATGTCAGCTGCGTTGCAATTCATTACATGGCTCGCTCGCCCTGTAAAGGACTTACGAGTGCCCATCAAAAACACCCCAGAACATCCAGTCGCTCGTCCCAATTGCATTGGTCTTGTCGGGTATCTCAACAATCTTCTCGGCATGGTCATCCTCAATCGGATCATTGCTCGGCAGCTGAACCAAGTCATAGCGCACGACGCCCTGGCCGCGATTGACAAAGTACGACTCCTCACTCTTGCGCAGCTTCTGCGTGGCCTGCTCAGGCGTGAGCATCTCAATCACCCTCCTCCCGTCGTCGCCCGTGGTCTTGGAGATGGGTCCCTCCCCAACAAACGTGCCGGTATGCAGCTCGTCGGCGCCAATGACCAGAACGGAGCGGGTTTGTGTTGCCGCTTCGCCTGCGGCCCTGCTCGTGCTGCTCGTCGAGTAGGCCCGCTTCACGATGCTGTCGGTGTCGTTGCCCCTGTACGAGTAATAGGCCCCGTAGCCGACCAGCGCCGAGACCAGCGCTACGGAGGCCCGGCGGAAATACATGGATGAACGGAGCGGTTCGATGGGGACCGGTGCATTCTCCCACGAACGGGGACGGTTGCTGCTGCGGGCCTGTGGGGACGTCGAGAGCAATCGGCGGGTTGACGCTGCGGTCCTCCTGGATGCGGTCGGCACCAGCAGCGGAGATACGCCCCGGCGGGAGCTATAGCGAGAACCTCGGACGGTACATTGCAGGCTGGTGCGGAAAGCTTGTAGGGCGGCGCGACGCATGGCGGATGGCAGAGATGGGTCACGTCTCCAAGTCACGATGGACGCCAGCACAAGTTGGGGTTCGGGTTTGCAAGGTCTGTTTCAGCACAACGGTGCTGTCTGATTTACGTGGACCACGGAGACTGACCTAACCCTGGGTCGGAACTGGAACAGACAGAATCGAAAGCACAACACGGCTCTCTTCAACACTTTCCTGCCTAGCAGGAGTCTCCATAAGAAGTTGAGGACAAAAATTCATATTCCTCAGGGCACATGGGGATCTTTCCATTGCAGCTTTCCTTATGATAAGTTAGTAGAGAAGTAGACCCCAGAGAAGGAAGAATCCATGACCCCCACATTCACCCCACGTTTGTGTACTGCATACAGTAACCGCAGCTCCCTTGCACTGTATTGACTTCAGCTCCCTCACATACAACTCCAAGCATGTAGCTGCAGTGACTGAAAATAATACATCCAGCTGGAGAAGCCGATTATACTTATCAAATCAAGTGTCCAATTTTCCCCAGTCGTTGGCACTCATACATATTCTTACTTGGGATTGTATGAATATTCCATCCGCGTACCTGCCACCGACGCCTCGACTCCTTTCGGAAAGCGCCATTCTGGACGCTCGCCGATCAAACAGACCGCGGATGAATCATCCTTAATAACATCAGTATCTCTAATGGAGATGAACACAAGCCAGGGCTCGGGCATCGCCCCGACCCAGCGCGGCGATAGCGACGTCGCCTTCAAGAAGTTCGACTCGTACCCCTGGGCGCGGGATCGCTCATTCCTTGTAAGTCGTACCCACCACGTATCTGGCTTCTCTCATCAACCGTAACACCCCACTCACTCACGACATTCCAGCAAGGCCTCATGGCCACCCTGGGGCCCTCGCTCCTCATTAACGCCGATGGCTTCAACCGCCAAAAGGCCCTGAGCACCACCCTGCAAGCCCGCATCTGGTGGTACAAATCGCGCTTCAACACCGACATCGACCGCGCCGCATACGAGGCATACAGCGCCTCCCATCCGCTCTCGAGCCCAGACGGCTCCATCCTCGCCAAGCTCGAGGAGATCCAGCAGCGCATGGGCGGCGCCGGCGGCGCCGGCGGCACCGGTGGTCCATCCTCCGCCAGTAGCCAGAGCCAAAACATCCCCGCGTGGCAACTCAACGCGCCCAAAGTGGACCTCAGCAAGAAAGCCGACGACGGGGCGAGCCACGCCAACACCGGCGACGGCGCGCCGTACCCCGAGAACTTCCAGGCGCTGATCGAGGCCGTGACTACGGGCAAGCCGATCCCGGGGATCAAAGAAATCCCGAATACGGTTGTGCGGCCGCCGGTGAGTATTTGTCCCCAACACGCCCACTACCTCTTCTCACGGATCAGCTGACTGATTGGTATCTTTGGATAGGGTGTCACACCCTTTGGCAAGATGAAGGCGCCTCGCAAGCCGTGGGAGAAGGAGGCTGCCCCTGACAGCTTAGCGCAAGCAGGCGTGTTTGGGAATGTGGTCGACAAGGAGTTTCCTCCATTGCCCAGCGAGAGGAGCAATTGAAACTGAAGACATCAGAGCAGCGACCAGTGCACCATGCCGTGGATCCCATGAGCATGCCTGAGATCGGATCATGGCTCACTGAGACCGCGATAACAAATATTCCCGCCTGCTGCTGGAACGGTTGGGATGCTTTGACCTGCCATCCGCATGAGAGAGCTGAGTATCAGTGAGCAGGAGAAAGAAGCAGAAGAGAAGGGAGCAGACGAGGCAGAAGAAAACAAGGGCGGAAAGACATGAGCAACAAATGCTGCTTCGGAAACAGGGTATCTAACTCATCTAGCACCCGCTCTGTCACAGCTGTTGTTGCACCAAAAGCCAGGGATTACGCCTGGACAGACAGGAACTGGGGGGCGACGTCAGGACGTGAAAGCATACAGCCATAGTTGGCTGCCAGATATGCCAGCACATAATAGATCTCAATAATACAAGAACCATCATCATCTCATTCATGGCGAGCCCTGTTGTTCAAATTGACAACTACACATACATACTATTTACTTCACTGCTTCCCTTTCGACTCCAGGTATGTACAAACACCAGCTAACAAAGGAAAGGAGGACAGACCCAGGTGGAGAGAACGAGGTGTATGATGGACAGCAACGGTTCTATTTCCTTCTCACAACAGAGAAGCATTTTTTCTACACACCGTATGCGATCTGGCCCATCGGCCTGTCCTCCTCCATTCCAGGCGCCATGAAGTTTGTCCGCGGGTCGCCGGTCTCCTTGGCCGCCGAGCAGCGCGCCATGGTTGGAGAGCTACAGTTCAGTCAGCCATCATAAGAACTACAACCCGCAAGAGAGTGAGAAGGAGAGATCATGGACTAACCTTCGCGAAATGACATCAGTAAAGTAAAAATTCTCCACCACCTTCCTCAACGGCTGCCCCGTCGCCTTGGAGCCCTTGTTCTGGTCCACCAGCTGCACCTTGCTGAGCTGCTTGAGCGCGACGGGCTCAACGACGTCGTACGCGGCCAGCGCCGGGCTGATCTCGACCATGCGGTCCCGGAGCTGCGCAACATCGTCGTAGGGCAGCGGCGCGCCGAGGAACTCGCTGACGGCGCGGATGATCTTCCAATCGGTGCGGGCGGCGCCAGGAAGGCCCGTCGCGGCGCGCGTCATCTGCACGCGGCCCTCGGTGTTGATGTACGTGCCGGCCTTCTCGGTGTAGGCGGCGCCGGGGAGGACGACGTCGGCTATCTGGGCGCCTCGGTCGCCGTGGTGACCTTGGTAGACGATGAAGGCGTCCTTGGGAATGTCGGCCTCCTCGAACTCGTCGGCGCCCAGGAGCCAGACAAACTTGGGCTTGGTCTCGGCAACGGCGGCAGACGGGGTGACGAAGCCAACCTCGTACGCGCCGGCCCGGGATGCAGCCCGCTGCAGGACGTTGTAGCCGTTCCACTCCTCGGTGAGGAAGTTGGCGGCATTCTTGTCGACAAACTGGCCGACGGTCTCGTAGAAGGCCTTGGCGTCAGCGTGCTCGGTGACACCGGAACCCACGATAATCATGGGCCGCTTGGCAGCCTGGAGCTTCTTGCCGAAGGGACCAGCCAGGGCCTCCTTGAGGGCGGCCAGGTCGGTACCGAGATGCTCGAACTCGAAAGTCGACTCCCAGGTCTGACCGACGACGCCAATCTCGAGGTCCGAACGCAGCCATTGCTTTCGAATCCGGGCGTTCAGGACAGCCGCCTCGTGTCTTGGGTTGGTGCCAATCAGGAGGATGCAGTCGGCGGACTCGATTCCCCAAATTTTGGAGTTGAAGAGGTAGCTTGACCGCACATCGATACCGTGAGCAATTGGTTGGCTGCCATTGGGCATATCGAGGGCAAGGTTGTCCGAGCCCAGCTTGTTGGCAAGATCCTTCATGGCGACCAGGGATTCGACCTCGGTGAGCTGACCGGCAATGACCTTAAACTCGTTCTCCTTTGGCGCCAGAGTCTGGTACGCGTGCGAAATCTCGGTAAGAGCCTGCTCCCATGTCGCGGGCTCAAATTTCCCTTCCCTGCGCACCAACGGGATCGTGAGCCTCTGGGTCTTGAGGCCGTCGCAGGCGAACCGGGTCTTGTCGTTGATCCATTCCTCGTTGACGTCGTCGTTGAGCCGGGGGAGAATGCGCATAACCTCGAGACCGCGAGAGTCGACACGGATATTTGAGCCGAGACCGTCCAGAACATCGATAGACTCCGTTTTCTTCAACTCCCAAGGGCGGGCGCGGAAGGCGTAGGGCTTCGACGTCAGAGCGCCAACCGGGCAGAGATCGATCACGTTGCCAGACAGCTCCGAGTCGAGGTTCTTCTCGAGGTAGGTGCCAATTTGCAGGTCGTTGCCACGGCCCGTCGAACCCAGCTCCGTGGCCCCAGCGATGTCGTTGGCGAACCGGACGCACCTCGTGCAGTGAATACACCGGTTCATGGATGTTTTGATAAGAGGTCCGATATTCTTGTCCTCCACCGCACGCTTGCCCCCAACCTCGTGAAACCGGCCACGGTCGGCACCGTACCGCATCGACTGGTCCTGGAGATCGCACTCGCCGCCCTGGTCGCAGATGGGGCAGTCGAGGGGGTGGTTCGCGAGCAGGAATTCCATCACGCCTTCGCGGGCCTTGTGTGTCAGGGGAGAGTTGGTCTTAACGACCATGCCGGCCTGTACGGGCCATGCGCACGACGCAACGGGCTTGGGTGACCGTTCGACTTCGACCAAGCACATACGGCAGTTGCCGGCAATCATGAGTTTCCTGGCGAGGCATTTCGTTAGTTGGGTGGGCGCGGGCAACGAGCATCGGCGTCGGCGCGGTGGACGTACTCATGGTAGCAGTATCTGTGAACCGTCAGCAAACACATCTTCAGCAGGGGTTCCCGTAGGTAGCGCGGACCTTGGAATCGTGATGCCGGCCTTCTCGCAAGCTTGGATCAGGGCGGACCCGGCTGCATCGCGATCAGCAAACCCAGACAACCAAATCGGCATCGCAGCATGTCCTCACCCTCAATCGAAACCTTCTTCCCATCTAGCAGCAGTCAGTACCTCGTCGTATGTCAATTGGCAGCGGCGGGCAGGCGGGGGGGAGCGCACCGATTGTGAGCTCAACCTCAGCAGATCTCTGAGCTGTCGCCGTAAAGGCCCGACATGCTGCGCTGGCCGGGTGCTTGCCAGTCCGCCAAGCCGAGCGAGCCAATGTCTGCCTCAACATGGTGCCGTCTCGACGGAGGATATGGAGCGAAGAAATACGTCTTGGAGATGGCGAGGCGGGTATCTCCAGCGGTGGTGCCGCAAGTCGTGAGCTTGTTCGTCCAAGCAACGAGACGTTTCCTGCTGCGGTTCCCGATTCGAGGGACCCGCTTCCAGGTTAACCTACCAATCACAGTCGGCGAATTGTAAGCTCCGTCACTTTTCATGTCTCCCCACATTTCGCCGCTCTGAGATTTGAACTTTTTTTCTCTCCATTGTACTTTTTTGGGCACTTATTGTAGGAGCATTTGTCGGCGATCTGGCACTCCGGTGCTGCATCGCGATTCTACCGAGTCCTCCTCTATCATGTGCTCTAGATTGATATTTCGGCTCCGATTATGGAAGCATGTGAGAGCTTACGATTCGATGAGCAACGCCTCTTACCGCCGGTTGCCACATTCCTCGACTCCAAATGACTGGGAGTCTGTTCCTGCTGAGACTTGTTGGGGGAACCCCATTGTCATGACGGGAATTGTGCCCTAGAAGCTCCTGAACCCCGATCTCTCTTCTGGTCGTTTCCCAGCTTCCTCGATCCTCGCCGTTTCCCGCTCCAGAAGCCCAAGGTAATGATTCTTGATGTCCGCCATGAATCCCTCGAACGATTCCAAATCACTTAGTCCGCGTTCGACAACTCTGAGAATATCTACCACGGTCCTGTCCCGAAGCGACAGATTGGCAGGCTCTGCGGCGGGCGGATACGTCTGGAGGTTGTAGTTCTTGCCGGGCTCGGCCGGTGTCTCCATGTTGGCGATGATCTGCTCCAGCTCGCTCGGTGGCACTCCCGGCCTGATCCGGGGCGGCCCTTGGGCCTGCTCCAACTTGGCTGCCTCGAGCATGATGCGCTTCTTCTCGCGCTCATACATGCACATAAGGTTTTCCTTGACGCCTTCTCGCTGGTAGTCGATGGTCTCAAGGATCCTCTTGAGGCGCTCGATCCGGTTTTGGGGCGGCTCCGAGTTGAGAATATCATCTCGGATGGGTACGAAGATGGCCGGCGCGTCGTTGGTTAGCGGGGGGATCGTCTCTGATGCATTTGGGTCCATGTTTGTGTTGGGGGCTTGTGCCGGTTGTGCCATGGCACTGTCCTATGTGGCTGCTGATTGAAGAGGTGGCCTGAAGTGTGGGCGGGTGAGAAGAGCCTCCACATCAGTTGAAGCCTTGCCGAATCGTCTTGACAACCGCTCCTGGAGAGACCTACTGTATATGGGGCCCTTTCCAATTGACCCAATTGACGAACAAAAACCATTCCCTCCTTTGGGGCGGCCGAAGTTGAGGAAATAAGCTTGGAAGTGTGCAATGGTTGCCTGTAAATCGGTTGATGGCTCTTGATCGCACTTCAAGGAATACCCAGGGTAGAAGCTGAAGATCAGTTATTGTAATAACAGAATATTACGCTTGTCCCTGGTATTTCATTGTAACTGGCAATGCATTTGCTGTGTTTTGCTGCGTTACTTTGGTCTTTGGTTTCGCGCCTGCTGCTCCTCCGAGTTTTTATCCTTCTTCCTTCTTCATGTCGCTCCTCTCTACCTAATATCTTCGCCGGAGTAGGGGCCATGGCGTCCTCTCGTTTCTCTTCAAATCCTCATTCGCCCGATCTAAGCAGTCACCGACTGTCTTGCTCTCTAGAGCAGCTCTTGAGAAAGACAGGTCTGGATTTGGGCTCGACTACCCCAGCTGTTCCGGACTGTATACAATGTCAGCCATGTCATTCCTACTCAGGTCATTCTTGATGTAATCCTGGCAAAATGCTTGTCTCTGGGGTGGAAAAAGTGACAAGGTAAGGGCTCTAGGCAGTAGACTCTGGGTAGGGAAGTGTAAGTTACTTCAAGACTTGACATACAATTGGAATCGGAACTCGACAAAGATGGCAGTCTAAATGCCAAGGTCGGGTACAGTAACTTGCGCAAACTCTCCAGGCCGAACACATCGACATTCTCAGGTTGGAAGGCAGCAGGCTTCGTCGGGTCAGCCCTGATCATTCCGTGTTTGGACCGAATGAAGGCACACTGGGCGAGCTGGCGATTCTCGTGCCACTCTTGGTCCTTCTCTCTCAGGCCAAATGTACAAGACCACGGTCCATCTGTCGGCAGACAGGTCGCGCAACCTTGAACCTCGGAGGGAGTCCCAGGTAGCAAGGGAGAAACACTCGGCCGGTGGTGCGGTGATTTCTAGGGCAGAGTCACCGACGATAGTAGGGGCCGCACGTGCGAAGAGGGTAGCCATAGTACTGCATGAGAAAGGTTCCTCGAATTCACGTGCTATGGCATGCGCAAAGAAGTTGATCAAACCGCTGACAGCGCAGATGGGGTTCAAAAAGCCATCGCCTAAGAAGAAGCAGTCTACCCCAGGCGGTTGATGCCAAGAATATCCCGGGTGTTCTCCGTCAGAGTCGAAGATCATGACAAGTTGAAGAACTGGGTACTGCGTTGGCAGTTGGTAAAAAGGCGTATCATCTGGTAGCCAGCGTTCAAGTCGAAGGGCGCAAGGCAAGCCACCGCACAGAAACACCTTGCCTCTCGGGCGTCGTGGATTAGCCATGGGCGCAGTATAGAACTCCCTAATTGGACCGTCACCTGTCCGGCCAGGGAGCTCAGTAAGGTACAGATAGTGTAGGTTTGGCAGAGTGCAGATGGCTTGCGCCAACTCTGAGGCGACGGTGCTGCTCCAGTCCACGCAGAGACTCAATCTGTGCGCGGATAAAGTTCAGAGCCCTTGAGTGCATCTGCGATAGTCTGAGGTGCTAAAGCGTGGAAGGAGTCCAGTCCAAGAAGACGTCGCCCGCATAAGCCACCCTCAACAGTGTTGGTGTTGTGGGGGCTTCGAGTAAATCGTTCATGACCTCCAGTGCAATCAAGTGACGTTTCAACGATGGCTTGGAGGTTGGAATCTGCATCAGTGTGCTCAACAGGCCTTCGTCCACATCGGCGGATGACAGCATGGTTTGCAACAACATAGTCATGGTCTGGTCCCAGAGTGATGCTGGCCCGCGGTGATTGCTTTGAAAGTAACCGGGCTGTCGCGTCACCGAAGAGATTTTGGGGCCAGTTGCGAGCCATGGCCAAACATTTAAAGGTACTCACTGTTAGCACCGCGGACGGCGGCCTGAGGTAAGGTAAGTATCAAGAAACACCTGCCTACTATAGCCCATAACCGATCAAAGAAAGCTTGTGAAGCTCCTCAACCAGGTCTCACGCTTTTGTAGCTTTCTCAGGGTGATGTTGGGTCAGGGCTGAGGTCGTTATCAGCCGGCCTGAAGCACTGGAGGAATGTCTGGAGATATTGCGTGCCAGACCACGGTTGATTTCGCAAAGGAACCGTGGCTTCTTGCTCGTGGTATTGGGATACCATGAAACAATAACGCACATGGTCAAGCTCAGTTATGTCGACAAAGATATGGGCCAGGCCGTGCAAAGTCCGTCAAGGTTTTCTCGGATCTGGTTCATTCTGTCTCAACTCAGCCTGTTTCCCATGCGGTGTACTTGCCCCCAATACGAGATAAGTGCTGATGAACGGAAAGCGAACAGGTTCAGCGATGACCGTAGGCCAATAATCGCTCACGTTGCGCCTGATGCATACTGCTGACCACTACAGAGGTGGGCGTGGGTATAGCTTCTTTTCAGGAGCCTCTGGGCTCGCATGGTATTTGTACCAGTCGGCAGCCAGACGAAGTTCGGCTCCAAGAGGGAGCCGGTTGATGGATCAGCAAAGTTGTTGGTCAAACGGAGACAGGCCTCAAGCGCCTGGCCGCCGCATTCCCAGGTGTCCGCGATGGCCAAGGACCGATAGGAATTGCCAGTGCAATTGATCACCCAAACCGTGCTGCGATCCATTTGTTGGACGCGAGAAAACCGGGTATGCTTGGATGCGACCAATGACCTCGACATCCGTGATGGACTTCGGCGAGGCAGTACGGCTGGTGTAGGAAACGATGCGATGAGACCCTGGTGGCTTCCCGGATGTACGGATAGATGATGCTTGCCTTTATGTCGAGGTTGGAACTTCGAGTGAGGCTGGGTTAGGTACAGTACTACCTTGATGGGCGGAATGGGCACTTGGAAAAAGCATCGGTACGGAGTACTAATGCATTACGGGGTAATTGGTAGCAGCCAACCCCAGCTCGCCCCATCACCCAATGCCGTCCAAGATTAACTTACTTCCATCTATCTCCCCGTCAGCCTGATCGTAAGTTCTAACTCTCCTTCATCATTTGTGGCGCTGGTAACCCATCGCTGTAGCGAGCAGATTCGAGGTCCGCTCCTAATACACGCCATCCTCAAAGTCGAGGACAATGGGCTTCTCGAGCACATCCCCGGTGCTCTTGACAAACGCCTGATGAGCTGGATCTTCCTTGACATAATAGTCCCTGTCTTCAGCCGACAAAAACTCGACGACGAAGCCATGTGTCATGCCATTCTAGCTTCTTGTCAGCCTATGCAATGTACAGCGTAGAGCTGCTGCTGTGATGGTGAGGACTTACCTGCAGACCCTCCGGCGAGTTGTCCTTCCCTGCTTTCAGAGACTTGATGTACGGAGCTTTGCTTGTTGGGTGGATGCAGCTATCTTTGAGCGCCAGGAAACGGGCGCAGACCTGGGATAAGCAGAACGCACAGGTCAGTATCTCTTGCCCCGAAGCAGTGACTATCGGAGATAGCGGGTACGCACCACCTTGACTTCTTCTGCGTTGGCGTCGGCCTTGAACTGGAAGAGGACAATGTGGAAGATAGCCATGGTGTCAGGAAATGGAAGGACGGATAGTATCTGGCAAAACGCTAATTCGAAAGAAGCTGGAGTGGAAGATGGACAGGAGAATGCAGTGTACATTGGAGAGTACCTTAGGGTACCTTAGTAATTGCTCGTTAATTGCCGACTGCAGGCTTATTTTGCTGCAAGTTGGCGGCACTGTCCTCAGTCCCTGTATCATCAAGCACCAGGATATGGGTACTGTGTATATGGGTAAACTCAGCTACATGCCAGTTCAGGGCATCCAGCCGTTTCGTTACTTGAATTCTGGTTATGAAAAGACGTCCAGTCCCATAGAAGCCCGGTAGTCTGAACCGATACCTGTCGTCTATCGTTTGATCCATTGCATTGACAAGAGAGTCATCGTGGAAAGTGAGAAAGAGCTTGAGATCATCTCTGGTTAAAACGTCGTCAATCTGCCTCAATACAGGCGGAGACGATTTCTTAGTGGGCCTGGCAAAGTTCACCCCCTGGCCGGAGCCATGGGCATCGTGATTGCAACAAGCTCATCCGTGAAGAAAGGCATTGTCGGTGTTGGTGGCATCGCACGAGACACTCTCTTCAACAGGACCAGCGAGACCGTGACAAGATTTGCTGTAACCCTTGGCACGAGGGAGGAGCA